AAACCTAGTAAAAAAAATTAAAACACCTGTTGCCCACCAGACCAGACTCGGGCATGCTCACTGATGGAGTGTGTGCAGCCATAGCGTTGTGCCCCGCTGACTGTGGGCGTGTTCTGGGAAGGGCGCTGACTTCCTTCCGGGGTGTCTCAGGACTGGTTGCTGGGTGGGTCTCTCATTGCTGGGGTTTTAAGGGACGTCTTGACTCAGGGAAAGCCGTTCGTTTTGAGAGTCACACAGTTGATTGAGGGATAGAAACAGTGTATTGTGCACTTGGGAGCCCGGCACACAGGCAGCACTCATAAATGCCGGTGGTCTTTTGAGGAGCGTGCGGATCTAAATGTCTGGTAGTTACAGGGCCCTGTGTGGAACTTTGTGGAGTTTTGCTTATCCTCCCCGCGAGCTGAGTGTGGGTAGCGTCCTGGGTGTGGGGCGTGAGCGACGCAGTAGGAGCCAGCTGTCTCCGGCTGCCTAAGGGGTGACCGCCTCTCCAGTGGGGGCAGGTCCCGCCCACATTCCAGAGAGGTTGGGGCACCCTCACCGGTCTCGCCTGCTCCCGGACCTCTGACCCTGGCCAGAGCCTACCCCCTCCGTCCTCTGCACCCAAGACAACAGCTAGCTCCAGGGAGGGGCTGCAGGCGGGTGAGAGCTCTGGAATGTGTGCTGGGGGTGAGGTGCCCCCTCCTAGAGGGGGCGGAAATGGAGAAGATGGTGGGACGGCCGGAGAAAGGATGAAAATAGAGGGGGCTGGAGGCACAGACAGAAATAGAGAAAGGCTGAGAAGCTGAGAAAGACAAAGAAAATGGGAGTGAGACAGAGCATGAGGAAACCAGACAGGTGGAGGAGGGGAAAAATATAGCTGTGGGGGGGAAACAGAGGCAGCTGGCCACAGAGAGAGGTGGGCTTCAAGTGACAGTTTCCCTCCCCCACCTAAGCTGGGCAGCTTACCTGTCCCAAGTGACACCGGAGACAGCCAGTTCTCTGCCCTCCCAGGGCTGGGCGGTTGTGGGTGGGGCTGAAGTCAAGACTCCTGGGTAGGGCCCCAACGCCCTTGGCCACAGGATGGTGGCCTCCCCAGCTTCAGCTTGGTAACTCTCATTCCCATGGCCCTGCAGAGGGTGGGGCTATTCTAGGCCCCTTGGGGGTGGCTGTGCCCAGGACACTCTGAGTCCCATCCTCCATGGTTTCTGGCCAGGGTCCTAACTCCTCCCTGCTGCCCATCCCAGGCCATCTTCAGACTAGCCATGGCCTTTGGCATCTCAAAACCTTGTTGTCAGCCACCTCCTCTCCACTCAGGACTCAGGCCAAAAGCCCTGACCCTCAATGACCTTCTGCCCACCCACAGCTGCCTGGTTACCAGGGGAGCACTGCCCACCTGGGAGGTTACCCTTCTGCAGCTACACCATTCTGCTCCTCCAGTCCCTGATCTAGTCTGGTCTTTTGCTCTTTGTCTTCCAGACCCAGACCAGACTGGGACCCAAGGTTTTGGTTAACATTCCCCCACCATACACAGGCCCACCCACCCCTGTTCACTCTGACCTCTGCCTTCTGAGAGGACGCCTGGTCAGAGCTCAAAGGCATAGGCAGATGATAACAATCAGGAATTCCCACCCAAGTCCTCCAGTGAGTGTGGTTCAGTCCCTCAACAAAGGGCTCACACTCACAAGCATCCAAACTTTACTTCGCCAACCTCCATCCCTCCCAGCAGCCCTTGCAGCCTGTGAACTGCAATGTCAGCCATGCAAACCACAGTTCTACCTTTCCTGCTTCCACCTCCCGCAGGACTCTGGCAGCATCCAACCACCTCCAGGACACACCAACCTCTGCTCCCCCATCTGTCCCTTAAGTCACAACTTGAAGACAACCCCTTTGCGGCCCTTGGGAGCTACGCCTTTTCTTCTCATCTGTTTTTTCTCCACAAACTTCACTGTTCTACTGCCTCCCAAACGCACCGCTTTCATATTTCCAGACTTTTGCAACACGCAGTGGTCACTAACTGGGGCACCTTTCCCCTCTTCCCACAACACTTGAACAAGCTCCTATTTCTCCTGCAAAGCATCAGACACAAAGCCCCAGCCTCCAGATAACCTTCCCTTCCACAGCTCCGACTGCCCCAGGAGGGCTGCGAAAGTGTCAGGGGCACACAGGAAGAAGGGAATGTAGCAGGAAATGCCTGGACGTGAAGGAGGTATGCACGTGGCGTACCCGTGCCGGGGGTCCACGTGCGGCGCCCCCAAGTACGCCCCCTCTTAGGTCCAGGCCTCGCCGAAGCCGTCAGGCCTCGGCTGCGTCTCTCGCCCCCAAATTTGCAGAAGCTCGGGGAGCATGAACGAGCCGCTGCGCTTCCGCGTTCACGCTTGCGTTCTTCCAGCCAGGCTAAAGTCCCGCCTCCAAGTGGCCACCCCGCACTGCTATTGGCTCTTCCAGATAATCGAACGGTGCGACCACTAATGAGACTTAACCTAGAGAGGATGGGGGTTTGGGCCTCTAGACAAGCTAGACGGGGGCGATTGGGGCGCCCTTCCTGCGGTGACGTCAGGCTCCTTTCGCGGTGGGTTGCCTTGGAAACCGCGTTTCCATCTCTGCGGGTTTCCGGGGACCGCCCCCTCCCATTCAGTTTATTCCTCAATGGGGGGAAGGAAGCAGTTGAGGACCAGTCTCTCCTCCTGAGCTCCCCGCAGTTCCTGCCCTGAGTCTCAGTTTACCTTTCCTTGCCTCCAAGACACATGTACAGTCTGAACACCTCCCTGCAAGGTGTATGTAGACTCTGAGGGCACGCAGGGTGCAAAGACTCGGGAGTGTCTTTTAGAACCCCCACCCAGGCTGTGACCTCTCCAATGTCCCCCCAGTAGTTATATTCCTCAGAATCACATACATAGACACGTCCTTATCCCCCAGGCCTCCAGGGCACGGCCTTGACTCCCCCGACACTTGGCTAGGGTGGGGGGGCAGGCTGTGTGCTGAGGGGCGGGTTCTTGGACAGAGGAGATGAGTCTCCCGCACTGCTGGGCGCAGGCAGCCAATGATTCAGCAGGCGCCTCCTTCTCATCCGCCTTCTACGTCCTCCACCCAGCCCTGAGCCGCAGGTGGTGGCCGGGGTCAAGCCGCCCTCAGCCCTGACCCTCGGGGCTTAAGCTGCGGGTTTTGCCTGACCCTTCCCACCCGCACCTCTGCCTTATGGCTTCCGACCTTGCGTCCACTGACCTTGAGGCTTGTAGAGATCCGCCTTTCTGTCGTGGGTGTAGAATTATTTGGGGTGACTGGGTGGTGGGAGAGGCGGAAGTCTCAGATGTCCCAGGGCACCCTTAGGAAGGTACCTGTCTCCCTCCCCCGCTGGGGCACTTTGGGTAGCCGTTAAAGAGGGTCTAAGAGAGAGAGAGAGAGGGAGAGAGAGAGAGAGAGAGAGAGAGAGAGAGAGAGAGTGTGTGTGTGTGTGTAATCATAGTTAACAATCACCCCTACAATCGGTTTTCTGCTCTACAAAATGGGAGTATAATTGCTTCTAACTATTAGGTAGTAGTACTTGTTAAAAGAGGAAATACACGTAGATTAAGAAGTGGAATGATAGTTGTGTCTGCCCAACCTAGAAGGCGTGAACATGGAACCCCAGAGAGGACCCTGGGGAGCCCCAACTTGACAGCGAGCAGAGGGCAGGGTAGGGAGGAGTGTAGGACGGTGTAGACCTCGTGTAAGTTCTCAGGCTGCCTGGAGGGGCACGACTGGGGCAAAGGCTTGGTGGGTTGACCCATGACCCTCAGCTGGAATGTAATGCTAGGGTGTGGCCAGAGGGGCAGAGAGCTCACCCCGGGTTGGGTCATGATGGGAGGGCAGCCTGAGGCACTTTATTCCAAAGTTGTGAGGACTGGGGCACCCGGAGGTCTGGTTCCCTGGGAAAGTGAGGCCCACACTAACGGCTCCCCTTTGGCTGTCCCTGCGAATGCCCCACAGCAACCGGACAGTGCTGAGATTCCAGGAAGTATTACAAGAGTTTCTCCCAAAGCTGGAGCTGCCTCCCACTCCCGTGGCTGGTGAAAGCAAGATCTGGGTGTCCACGGATACTGACTCCAGTTCCCGTCCTCACAGCCCACTTCAGAGTCGGGAACTGCGAGGGGGCGAGGACCCCACCCAGGGGAAGCAGCAAGCGGACAGGCCCAAGGCTCACGCCCTGGGGGACTTCCGGCCTACCAGGAAGTGGCTGACCTCGCCCTCCTCCGCCCCAGCAGCTTCCTGCCCACCCCGCAGCCGGGAAGGAAGTGTGGGAACAGCCGGGAATCTGACCACTGCCCCCCTTCCCATCCCAACGTTCCCCCCATAGCGGATAAGACTTTCCCAGGCGAGAGGCGTGGACATAACTTGTTTCATTTTCTGTTTATTACTTGAAATCACGGTGTTCGTGTAAAGGTTTTCTCTTTCAACTTTGTTCCATACAGGAAACTCTCGCGAGGTGCCGGGACCCCCACAGCCCGACCCGGAGGGTGGGTAATGCTTTCTTGGGGGGCCCTGAGAGGGCAGAGGGCCGATTCCTGCCTGGGGCCTCCACCCTCTGATCCGCGGAGGCACAGACGTTATTTAAAAATCGTTAAAAAACAAAACAGAACACACATTTAAATAGGTATCCAAGACAGTTTTTCAAAAAACAAATGCACCCCCCCCTTCCTCCTCTTTTTTACTTTTTTCTTTTTTTGGAAAAAAAACGAAACAAAAAAATAAAAACAACCAAATCCTTGACCTCTACCCTCTGGGACCCCTCCCCACCCACCCCCACAAAAGTTGTACAGCTACAGTTAACACATGATGTTCACATCTGAAACCATTAACTTTAAACAGGTAATGGGGGGGCGGCGAGGATCTGGGGGTCACCTACGCGAAAGGGGGGGAAAGACAGGTGGGGCTAGGACAAGACTTACAGGTGGGGGTGGGCAGGGCCCAAACATCCCAACAGCATTTAAAAAAAAAGTGAATGGGGAAAAATGCTAAAAAAAAAAAAAAAAAAAAAACCCCACCATTGAAATGGCCCTAGTAAGGGGGGGCTCTCTCCCTCTGCTCCTGGGGCTAAAGACCTCCCAGGGCATGGGCACTGAGTGGGGAGGGTCCAAATTAGACCAGCAGCAGACCCCACCCCCTGAGGGGGGGGTTAATGCTACACAGCGGTGCCCCTACTCAGGGCATTCACAGCTCAGCACCCCCATCCCCATCCTGGCTGCAGGTGAGGAACCCCAGTCCACACTCCTCAGGTTGGACCGGAAGGGAGAGGGATGGGGGCGTCACCCCACCCCCACCATTTGTATCCCAGTTTTTCAAGAGATTCCCAACCACTATTGGCTCAGTCAGAAAATTAATAGTCTATAAATAGTCCCCAAGCTCAGGCGGGAGGGAGGTCAGGGAAATAGAGGGAGGGGGCAGGAAGGCGGTGGAGGAAACAGTACAGTCCTGGCCAGATGACCAGAATGGGTGGGCCAGGACTATTCCCAGTTTCCTTTCAGACAAGAAAGGGTCCCGTATCTCCACACGACCAAAGACAGCAAGGCCAGACTGCTGCAACAGCTTCACATGGAAAAAGAGACCAAGAGAAAAGTAGACAAATGTGGAAAACAGTCCCTTTGTGGGCTATTCCTCCCCAGTGACATGTGGGTCTCTGTGTGCCGTGGCCCACTGGGTCCTGCTGGCCCGGGGTGGAGGCCAAGGTCTGCAGAAGGGGACTCTTCTCTCCGCCCCCTCCCCTCATCTGTAAAGTGCATAATGAGGCATCTACATTTTTGAGTTAAAACCTGAATCGGGTGGGGGGGAGGCAGAATGGAAGGGGTGGGGGCGGCTTCCTGGTCTCCTCCGCTCTCAGCCATCTGGAAAGACTGCTACATATTTGGAGCTGGGGAAGGTGGGAGGAAGGACCCAGCACAGAGGCCGCCAGAGATGGTGAAGGAGGAAGAGGTGGGCACGTGAGGAGAACGCAGAAGGTACAACCAGGGTGAGAGTTTTAAAAAGAAAAAGGCTGGTGGGTGGGGGAGGGAAGTGACCGCCTGCCCTCCAGAGCTGGGCCCCACACACTTGCATTTGGCCTCTCGGTCGGTGCCTAGAGCTGGGGTTCGAGGAGCCATAGTGCCAGATTCTAAGCCACCACGAATTCGGACTGGATGTCAGGGTTGACTTCTGGCTTCCAAACGGAGTCCTCGAAGTCAAGGCCCAAGCCAGCAGCCTCGCTGGGGCTGCTTCCTCCCCCGCTGCTGCTGCTGTCGCTGCGGCCAGCCTTGCGACTGGGCGGCCAGTGGTAAGGACCGCGTGCGTCCCGCCGGGCCTTTCTGCGCAGGCGCTTCTGCTGCAGCAGGAGCTGAAGACGTTCTACCTTGCAGCGCGTGGCGCGGTTCTCTGTCTGCCTCAGCCGGTCTCCTGAGAAAATGGCGTGACCTGTCATTCCTGAAGCCCTTTGGGAGAGGACTTTGTCTCCCAAACACTTCCAGTAAGTGCCTCAAAGGCAGATGCTGTTCTCCAGCCCAGGACCCAGCAAGGGTCAAGGGCATCCATCACCCTCTAGGTTTTATTTGCTGGGTTGTGTGCTGGGGAGGGCAGGCAGGATTGGTCTTTAGCCTCCTTTGCGGTTTTTCATAAGACTTGGGCGTGAAAGGCACTTGGCAATGATGACTGACTAAATAAAGTGGAGTTTGAACACTTCTGTCTGTTCAAACGGAGGCTTGTGCGTTGATTTCCCACTTTTATAAACACGGGGGGCTGTGGATGTGAGCAATCCACACGTGGGCACTGGCTGAGCAGAATGGTCACAATGGTCTCACAGGGCTCTGAGTCGGTAGTCTGGCTGTTTGGGAATGGGGAGCAGTGGGAGCAGCCCTCGCCTTCTCAAGACCTCACAACCCTGGGGGTCCTGCAACTCCGCCTAGCCAGCCAGAACTGACTTGGCCATTTATAGAGAAGCCAAATGCCATCTGGAGATGGAGCCTGGGGGTGGGGGGAGAGGAGGAAGTGGGGTTGGAGTCCCCTCAGGAGCACACAAGAACACTTTGTACCCTGACACACACGCCTCCTTTTCTCCAGGCTGGGGCAGATCAGGAGCGGCAGCTGCAAGCTCCTCTGGACCCCAAGGCAGGTCAGCTGCTTCTGCACCCACTGGCACACAGAGGGGCCTTGAAAAACCAAGAGGATGGGTGGGGACTTGGGACCCTCAGGGTAGCCACTCACCAGGGGGCTTGCACATGCGGATCTGGCTCTGGCCCTGCAGCAGGGAGGCAGGGGGCACCGCTGCCAACTTCTCACAGGAGGTAGTTTTCGGGGTGAGGTCTGGGGCTGGTGAGGCAGGCGAGCACTGGGCGTGGCAACGGAGCTGGGTCAGTGAGGGGGGCATGCCCTGGTAGTGCCTCGTGGCGCTTAAGAGGTCGTTAAGGATCTGTAGAATCGTGCCAATATCACGCCGGGGCCGCCCGCTGCTGTCCTGGCAGTTGGGGTGCAGTGTGCCTGCAGATGGAGGGTGCTATAAGCTAGCAGCAAATACATTGTCACACATGAGTGAGTGTATGGCAGTGAATGAACACACGTGAGCTCACAGAGGGAGTGTATCTGAGTGTGGTAAGCATTTGGCATCACAAGTATACAGTCACCTGCACGCAGGTGGGATTGCCAGGGCAAGAGGGACACGTGTCCTTGCATGTGTGGTCACTCATATGCAAAATGCAGATTATTGGGAGAGAAGTGAAATAAGCACTTGGTTATATGGCCATGTGCGTGCTCTGTGCATGTAACCCTCCAGGTGGTTATGAGATCTCAAGGACACAGGTCACATGAGATCACATGTGCTGTGATACCTACCAGAGAAGGTCCCTGAGAAGACCCCTGGAGCGTGGTTCACAAAGCTCTCAATGACAGCGCCGGGTTTGCGGGAGCGGGGGGTGGATGTGGTGCTGGCTCCAGGGCTCACACCACTGCTGGCCGGTGGGGAGCAATCCATCTGCTGACAGGGGTGGGAAAATGAATGAGCATGTAAGTGTGGAGTTAAAAAAAAAAATCAAACAAGTGTGGCATTCAGGGTAGGGGGCAGTTCTCAATACAAGGGGTACACTGGAGACTCAGAGACTCTACTCTCTCAAAGTCCACCCTTTCAAATTTCAGAGATGATCCCGAGATTCTCACCTCTGGACAGGTGGCAGAGGCTGCGTGGGATCGGAAGGATCCAGCTGTGACAGGTGAGGGGGATGTGGAAGAAGGGCTGGTGGGCACTGGGGGAACTCGGGCAGTGCTGGACACTGGCCGACAGGGAGAGGACACAGGGGTGGTTATGCTGGGGTCCCCACGGGCTGCAGCGGCTGCAGCAGCCAGCACATGTCGGTGCTGTAGTGGAGCATGCTGGGCAGCTAGTTGCAGCTGGACGAACATCATGTGATCCCCCACTCGAAGAGCCAGGGTCAACGGTGATCGGCCAGACAAGAAGTCACTGACCTGCAGAGAGAGGCCCTTCAGCCAAAGGGGGCCCCATTTTTGATGCCCCTAGCCCAGCCCAGCCCAGCTCCCCAGCATTGTGTGACCTGGGGCCTCTCGCCGCCCCTCTCTGGGCTCTGGGGTCCCTGTCGGTGCCACAGACGCTTAAATAAAATGAATCTGTATTTCCGGAAGCCTCCTCCGCCAGCCCGGCCCGGTCCGGGCGCCGCTGGGGGCTGTGGGGGACAGAGGCGGTCAGATGGGGGCCTGGCCCACCCTGGCCAACTTGGTTCAAGGGGAAACTGAGGCCAGAGGGGGCAGGGCCTAGCTGGTGGTCATTGCTTTCAAACAGCCCTCACCTCTCACTTTTCCCCATCTTCCTGGGTCTCCAAGTTCTTTCCACCTGTGATATGGGAGGGGGCCCTGAGATGGCCCCCTCCCAGTTAAGTTACCAAGCCAATGAGTGGGTGGAATTCCTGGACAAATTCTTCCATGCTAACCTTTGCTTTCTTAAGATAAATATTTATCTGTCCTGGGCGGGGCGGAGGCCAGGGGTGGCCACACTGCTGTGGGAAGGGGGCCCTGACTATGTCCCTGAGGGAGGCATGTCCCCAGAGGCCTCAACATGCCCCAGTGAACTTGAACCCTCTGTAACTACCCCTGCTTTGTGGTGGGCGGATTCATGGGTGTATCTGACTGGGTCTGCACAGAGCACTCCCCTCTGGGGCCTGGCCAGTGCCTTGTTCTCCCTAGGGGCCTGGATGGGGGGGGGGGGGTGGAGGTTTCTGAGAAGTGACATAGACCGGATGACTCAGAGCTGACTGCCTCCCAGAACTCCCTCCCAGTTCTGCTCTCCACTGGCAGCAGCTGGTGTAACCTTCTCTGCTTAGGGCCCATGGGAAGGGGGCAAAGAAGGCTAGTAGGATAAGGACCCCAACCAGAGGTCCCCTTGCTCCAGTGTGATACCCCTTACAGAAAGGACTAAGGGTAGCTTCCTGAGCAGCTGGGGTCTGTATGTCCCCCTTCCCCTACCATCTACCCACCCTGCAACTTCCCTCCTGGGGAGGGCAAATGGGCTGGCATGACTCTGTTGCCAGGCAGAGAAGCAACCTTAGGGAGCCCAGCCTCCCCGCCCAGTGCCCCCCTATCTCCCTCCTGACAGAGACACTGGGGAGAATGTGAACCAAACATGCCTGGGGTCCCCAGTACCCCCTGTCAACTGCAGCCCCAAAGAGCCAGCAGAGAACTGTTCACACTTGCCCTAGGAAATTACCGGCAGCCCCCACACCAGCTCCCAGGACCCCTGGCTCTCTCTTCATCCTGTGACCACCCCTATGGATGGCAGACCACCCAGCTCCAGATTTGGGCTCTGCCCACCCCCCTCCTCCGCACTACTGGGCAGGATACTACATGTCAGGAAGGGAAGGGGGTGAAGGCCTTGGGGAGGGAAGAATCTGCCACCAAGGTGGCTGGGCAGGTTTCCTATGGCCAGGCCGGGGGGAGGCCCTGGGGAACCTGCCCACCCCCTCACCCTGCCGGCAATAGCCTGCTTTCCCCACCCTCCCCCATCCTGGCAGCAGGCAGATTGCTGAGGCCTGTGTCACTCTCCTGGGAGGTGGCCAGGGCCCAGAGTCTGAGGAGGGCCCCTGCTGTGGCCAAGAAAATGAGGAAAGGAGGGGAAAAGGGAAGAAAAAAAAAAAAGCCCTCAACAAACACTGGGAACCAGGGTTAGGGCCAGCCCAGCCTCCCTCCTGGCCGCTTAATAAATATTTTCCTCTTATCCTGTCTAGGCCTCCCTGGCCCTCAGGCTGGGTGCCTCCGCCCCTTCCCCTGTTGGGGCATAGAACAAAGGCCACAGGAAGGGGGGTAGTGAAAAAGTGACTTCCTCTACCCTTGCAATGGGGCAACCCAAGGCAGAGAGTGTCACCCCGGCTTGGCTTCTCTTATCCCACAACAACACAAACAAATTTGTGGCTTTAGAGAAGCTACACTGACTGGAGGGGAGAGAAGGAGAGGAACTCTACATGGCAGGGGGTGTGCTGGGCTGGGGACACAGGTTCCGGCTTGAGTGTTGAGTGGGTCAAGGTCACCAGGCAGGTAAGCTTGTGAAAAAACCTGGGGCCCCTTCCCCCCATGGCAGCCACCGTGGGGAGAGAAAGCCCTCAAGGTCAGGTGGTGAGTGCTGGGGGGTTAGAAAAAAAGGAGAAAGAGGAAGCAGGGTGACCAGGCCAAGCTGGCACCAAGACCTAGTGTGTGTCCCCTCCCCCACAAGCCACTGGGAAACACAGACAACCCAAGGCTCTCCAGAGTGGTCAGTCACTGGGGGCTATCAGGGGTGGCAGTGGGTGGACACTGTGCCTACCACCCCCTGGTTAGGAAGGGGCTGGTGCTGGTCTTACCTGGGTCTCCGTCAAACTCTCAAGGGCTTGCATGACAGACTGCTCCGGCCTTGAGGCCTGGGACTACAAAGAGAGGGAGGGAGGAGGGCTCCTGAGTGTGGGTTTGGCACCCTGGGCTTGAGCATAGGGTGGGGAGGGCCCTGAGTGCTGGGGTGGGCTGCCCTTGTAGAGGTTGGCTGCACTTGGGGAGTGACGGTGGCTGGGCACCCTGGGAGGGGGCTGCCTGCCCGTGTGGGGCCTCCAGGGCACGCGCCCGCAGTCATTTACCATGAGGCCCGCTTCCACCGTGGGCACCAGCGTCAGCTTGCTACCATCCCCCACGCCGAACTCCTGCAGCTTCCCCGAACTGAGCCGGCTGGGGGTAGGAAGGAAGAGGGTGAGACGACAGAGACAACACAGGGACGCGGAAGCGGAGGCCGCAGGGGAGGGCTGTGCGTGCAGGGGGGGAGGGCAGAGATTGCTTCCCACCCCCACCCTTTCACAGCTTTCAGATTCTGGGCCTCGAGGGTGTGTGGAGAGGCTGCTTGGGTTTGAAAGCCCCCATCCTAAAGGCTCAGACCTCTTCCCCAGGAACCCCAACACCTTACTCGGTACAGTCTTCAGCAGCTTAACAAGGCACTTTCACATCACCTGGGCCCCTATGTTCCCTTTACCACCCTCCCCCACGCCCCCCCATCCTGCTCCCAGCCAGCTTCTGCCTACAATTCCCCAACTCCTGCCTGGGCTCGTCTTTGTGGGCGCTTTGGAGCTTCGGCCCTTGGAGAGGCCTTCGGGGGCTGCGCCGGGCCAGGCTCCCCCTCCTCCCTCCCTCTTTGGCGCAGGCCTCTGCCGCTCAGACAAAGAAGACCCTCCTCCTCCTCCCTCCTTCCCCTCCCCCGCCAGGGCCCCTCCGCTGGGGATGGACACTGCATGTCCCCGGAGGCCCGCAGGGGGAGGACTCCCTGGCCTGGAGGCGATTTAAATACCAAAGGGGAGGGGGAAGCTGTGGGGAGGGGGAAGCTGTGGGGAAGCGCTTGGTGGCGAGAACAAAGGGGGGCAGAGAGACTCCAGTGGTGGGGAGACAGCTAGCTCGAGGGGCAGACAAGCAGATGAGGAAGCCGGCGAAGATTAGGGCATAAGAGGGGGCGACTGTATTCCAGAACCCCCGGGGCGCTTGCCTAATCCGGAGAGGGACAGTAAAACCTAGGCAATGCGCCCCCCACCCCCACCTTTGTGCGGAGACCCTGGGCGGGGGAGGGGGCAGAGGCTGGCAAGGCCGAGCAGAGGGCGCCCGAGAGCGCGCGGCGCGCCCCCGCCCTCCTGTCTGGCCGCCCCCTGCTTCCCCGCGCGGCGCGCTCTTTGTTCCCGCCCGGGGGCCGGTGCCTGAAGGGGTGGCCCGGCGCTGGGGGCGCGCGGGCGGGGGCGGCGCGCGATACCTACGTGTCTTTGTGGAGAAGCGCCAGGCGCTCCTTGGGCACTTTGAGGCGCTGGGACAGCCGCTTTCGCAGACCCTCCACCGTCTCGTCGGGCGGCACCGACAGGTCGTAGCGGGTCCCGGTCGTGCTGTGGATGGCCAGGCTCATGGGCGCTGCCTCGGCTGCCGGGCCTAGCTCGCAGGCGCCGCCGGGGGCCCCACGCCGGCAGCTCCGGGCGCCGCCGGGCTGCGGCTCCATCCCCGGCGCGCGCTGGGGCACTAGGGTCTGTGAGGCGCCACCAATCCTCGCTGCGCCTCTTGGGCCGGGACTCCCCCAAACCAAGGTCGTCCTTCCGGGCGCTTGGGGATGGGGGCAGTGCTTGTGCCCCTAGTTAAGGTCCCAGCGATGGAAAGTGAGTCGGAAATAAAAAAATCCAATCGGCGCCCTGGGGTCGCGTCGGTTCCTTGGGTTGCACCCCGGGGTGGGGTCCGCGCTCACGTCTTCTTTAAATGCGAAGGGTGGCCGGCGGCAACCCGGAGCGGCCCGGATCCCAGAGAAGGGGGCACCGTGGCCCGCTGCGCTCGGTGCTTATGCCGCTCAGGTCGCGCTACCCGCCGCGTCCCCTCCCTTAGCAACAGCCGCCGCAGCCGCTGCTCTCAGGATCTGGGGGTGAAAGTAACAAGAAAAAAAAGTTATAATGTAGCAACGTTCGAAGGGGCGGGGACGCCGCCCCCTCCCATTCACTACTTACTCCGCCGGCTCCGTGCTGACCAATCGGCGCGCGCCGAGCGCCCAAATGGCCGCGCTCCCAGACCAATGGGAATCGCCGTGGCTCTGCCCCACGTGGCAGTGCGCCCCGCCCCTAGCTCCGCCCCCACCTCCTGGATACCCAATAGAAACACTGTGGGGGCGAGGCTGGCGCCGCTCCGAGTAGGCCCCCACCCGCGCTAGGAGCCATTCATAAGGCCGGGAAGCCTCAACAAAGGGCGGGCGGTCCCAGAGGGGTGCGGGACCCTGGTCCCATTACTGGTCTTCTTTCTCTACTGTCCCCCAAGTGGAGCAGGCCTGGACGTGGGTCATTGTTCCCGGCTCCGGGAGGAGCAGGAATCATGGGGCCTCCCCACGGCGTCCGTCCGGGAAGCAGCCACCAGCGGAAGCTGGAGCATGATCTCGGCGCCCCATGGCTTAGGTCCCGGGCCTTGTGGCTCGCGGGGACCAGCTAGTCCGCCGCCCTCTCCCCCGTGGGTGGAAGGCGTGGAGCCTGGGCGGGGCCCCCGGCCGGGGCGGCGTCCTGCAACCTGGTGACGTGGCAGCAGTCGGGTGTGCCCTTCCCGAACCGGTGCCACCTCGCGTCCCAGCAACCCGCCCTTCGTAACTTCCCATCCCCCCAGGCCGGGCCCGTTTCCCGAGACGGCCATCGCGATCCGTGATGTGACGCGGCGTCCCCGGGTGTGCCCGCGCGCCGCTCGGGGGCAGCGGTGAGTCAGCAGCGCCGTCGTGCCCTCTATCGGTCCCGCCTGGGAACGTTTCCCGGAGCCACGGGGAAGGGGAGCCGCGCGGCAGAGCAAGGGAGAGACGGATTGAGGACCTGGGGGAAACTCGCTGGGTTACTAAAGAGTCTACGTGTCGAGGATAACTTAGAAGAGCCGGGGAAACTGATGGCTTATCCACAACTAGTTCAAGGTCACAGGCAGGGAAAGGGGAGTGTCCCGAGGGGCGGGGCGGGGGCTGCGTTCCGCCAGGGCGGTGCCTACTGCGCAGCGCCCCTCCCACCGTAGTCTTGGGTAGGGGGTTTGGTCGGGGAGGAGACGGGTGTTCTCTCTGGCTCGAAACAACTCGAGCCTTGCCTGCCCAAAGAACAAAAAACTGGAGCACCTTGGGCAGTCTACAGTGGCTACCCCTCTAGGCTCGCTAGAACCTGCCCCTCACTCACCGGGGCGCGGCCGTTCCTGGGTCTCCACAATTTCGAGCTACCTGCGTGCAGAGGCGAGAGCACGACGGCCGAGCCGGTCTGAGGCCCAGCGGGCGTCCCCAGAGCCTTTATCCGCGCCGCCTTCCCTCGGGGTGGAGTTTGGGCGGGTAGGGGGCGGGGGCCAGGCGGGCGGTGACGCAGCTGGCCCCCGCCTCTGCCTGCTGGCCTGGGCCCTGTCATCTCCGGACTCCCAGCCTCCTGCTCCGCTCCGTAAGGGGGAGAGCTCCCCTTGGGTGTCACTGGGCCAGGATCCACCGGCTTCGCCCTGGACTCGGGCGCACCCCAGATTAGGTCTCAGATCTTCTAGTTGAGTCCCTTGCCGCGCCCCCTTTCCTGCCAGCTGGGCCCAGTGCTTTACACCTAGGAGCTCCCGTAGGGTGGACGAGAAGGAGGGACCTGAGTCAGCTGCTGTAGTCCAGGAAAACAGGCCAGAGTCATCTGCCAGGCAGTGGGGTGCCCCAGCCAGCCGCCTAACAGCCTGGCCTCCTGCATCCCTAAACGGTGACCTCAGAGGGCATTTCTGGAGCGATTAAGCCAGCGCCGGCAGGACTGGAGCCCAGCCAGTCACCACCCGTTGTGCTGTGTAACCTGGGGAAGGAACTGCCACTCTCAGTCAGTTTCTACAGGCTGGCCAGGCACTGAAACCAGAGAATCAATCAGAGCGCACTCAAGAGCCACTGGTATGTAGAGGGCAGGGGATGTCTGCACACATGCTGGTCCTCCACCTTTTAACCCACTCTGGACCACGAAACTGGCCATGTAACTAGTAAGATCAGAACCTTGTGCCTGGCTCTGGCTTTCTGAGGGTGACCCTGGTTGGGCATAGGTACCTCTGTCCTGTCTCTACCCAGAGTAGGGGAACCCTGGGGCCACCTCCACCTCCTGTCCACTTATCTGGTTCCCAGCCTTTATCTGGTCTGACTACCTCCACCCCCACCTTTGCCCAGGACGCCTCTCCCACAGCTGTTCCTTTCCAGGTCTCCTTCCAGCTCCCACCCTACACTCCCTGCAGCCTCTGGGTCCCCACCCTGAATCAGGTGCACCCAGACACTCCCAGTCCCCCAAGATTAGTGTCAGGCCAGAGGGAGAGCTCAGAGAGCACTTGGAAGGAGGTCCCAGGGGCCAGGATTTGAGGAATGAATAGGAGTTTGTCACGCAGAGGATGGTGCTCTAGGAAGTGGCAACACTGGGAATTGTAGGAGCTCAAGAGTTGGAAATGTGGCTCAAGTGGTAGAGCACTTGCCTAGGAAGCACAAAGCCCCGAATTCAAACCCCAGTACCACCAAAAAAAATTTTTTTGAGGCTTGTAAGAGCCAAAGAATGGGACCAAATTCAAAGTAGGAGAGACAGTGTTGGGCTGGGAGGCCAGCTGAGGAGCCTCGGGCCAGGTGTGGCCTGCTTCCAGAGGTCACAGTGATGGCAGAGGGAGCTGTGAGTGAGTCCATGACCGGCTCCCACTTGCTAGGCTGGGGTTGCTGTAGAGTGGCCAAGCCACCTGGATGCTGTGGTCCCTTGGGAACAAGTTGGTTGGCTTCTCGAAAATAAAAAGTCCTGAAACATCTGTTTCACAGCTTTTTTCCTATGTGCTGTCCCTGTCCTCAAGTGTTTCATTCCCAGATGAGTAGAAACCCAGAGACACAGGAAAAGGACAAGGCCCTTGTGATGCCCTCCCCACTACCCCAGGCCCAGGACCTAAGCTCAAAGAAAGTCTTGACCCTGCATGCCTGGCCTGGCCAGCACCAGCACTGCCCCATCCCTGAGGCCTGGCTCCAAAGCTTATACCTCCCTCCGGAGTGGCCTAACTATGCCACTGTGAAGTAGGGACAAGGGTTCCCTGTTGCTGAGTGTGCTAGATTTGGCTAGGCACAGGCAGCTCAGTGGCAGATGCCTCCTGTTGGGCTGCTGCCAAGGCCAGCTGTGTCCTTGGTCTTATTTATAGTGTTTCAGTGGCCTGGCCAGGAAGGCTGTATACCTGGGACTCTGTGGCTGGCACACCTTCTCTGGGCCAGGGCTCCTAGGGAAATGAGGGGCTGGCTGCCTTCCTTCAGGCTCCACAATAACAGGACCTGGATGGGGGCTCAGGGCTGCTGACAGTCTGCTGACTGGGGACACCTCCAACACATTCCCATCCAGATCCAGCATGTGGCCATGGGGAGTCACCAGCACGAGGCTGTGACAAAGGGACTGCCCTTTAGTGTTCATAGGCCACACACATGCCTCGGGGGTGGCCACCAAGTTGCTGCCCTGGCTCCAGTGATGAGCAGTGCAGATGGCAGGGCCTGTACTTCATACACATACTCACTCTCCTAGAATCCCCTCCCTTCCTCACTGGGGCAGGACAGGCAGGGGAGGGGCAAAGACCCCACCCTGCAAGCTACGGCAGTGCTTGGTGCCCCCAGGATTAGAGGGGGTGGGATAGGTGCCCAGACAGGACAGTGCCAAGGCCACCCTCTCCTGGGCCCACCCCACACCATCTGGTGCCAGACAGGGGATTGGGTGCCCCTGGAGGTGCCAACACCACTAGGGATTGGGCAGCTGGCCAGGCTGGGGCCACCCACAGCTGGGGCGTGCCCAGGGTGGGGCTTCTATGGGAGGAGATGGGGACCGCCTCTTCCCAGGGCCAACTGAGGCGGGCCAGGGGCCACTGCAGGGGTGGTTTGGTATTGCCTGAGGTTATGGCACTGAGCCTGCAGATCCAGAACCTGGCAGAGGCCCCAGGGGCGTGTCCCACAGCCCAAGCCTCTAGCTACAGCCATCCCACCCCTGCGGTGAAGGCCAGGACCTTGCCCACCCCACCCTGCCCAGCAGGCTGTGCCCTCAGTCACACCTCATAGCCCACCTGCAGCTCCTGGCCTGCTAACTGAATTTGTCCACAGGACCCAGCCTCACTAGACCCAAAAGATTGATTTCACAGGAGAAGGGACACAAAAGAATCACAGAGGTGGGGGAGGATCTGGACCCCACTGTCCAGAGAGGAGTGAGGACACGAATGCACACAATCAGATTCCTGGTTTTTAATAATTGGGGGTGAGGGTGGAGCAGGTCTTCCATACATGTGGCTCTGGAGCTGGAGGTTGGCAGCTCTGCAGGGACACAGGGTAGGGGAGCCCATCAGATTGGAGAAACCTTAGGAGAGGAGTCCCATCAAATCAGTGGAAGCTACTAAGAAGTCAGTTTCCCCAGTTCAAAGGCCAAGCCTGAAAGCCATGGGAAATGGTGTTGCACTGCCTCCTGGTGGCCTCTTCAGCAAGCACAGCCCCACCAAGAGGAGGATACCTCAACCCCACACAGCACAGGGAACTGATTCTATCTGCCTGGCCCTCAGCTTCAGTTTCCCTGCTGGTAACAAGCACTCACCGCCTACTCAAGGGCCTTCACCAGGGCCTCATTGGCTTCGATACGGATTTGAATCTCTGCCTTAGCAGCCTCATCTGCAGCCCCAGACAGCTCCGACTGCGCCTTCTCCAGGTTAGCCCTGGCAGCCTACAGGGAGTGGGCACCAGGTGAGAGCAGAGCGGGGCTCAGCCCAGCACCTGCCCTTCCACTGGGTTCCCTCCCAGTAATCAGGGAATTCTCAGACAGCTCCTGCCAGCCTTGCAGACTGTTTCCCCCACACACTCACCCCCAGGTCCAGCATGTCCAGGGTCACAGCCTCTTCTGCCAGTAACTGTACCGATGAATCAGCATTCACTGTGATGGAGCCACTGCTCACTACAGGGGAGAGAACAGCAAGGAAGGTCTGAGTCTGCCACATCCCCAGCATGTCTGAGCAGCAGCCTCAGACTACCTCAGCTTGCAGCTACACTAATTCTGAAGTCTGTGTCCTAAAGGTGCTAACACCCACTAGACCAAAATAGCACCACAGGACTGACCCTAGGGCCCAGCACATACAGTGACTGAAGAGACACCTCAAGAAAGGACAGGGGAGTGGAGAGAGGCCTAAGGACAGCCATCGAGCATCTGCTGAAGACGGAGCCCCTCGGGTAAGCCTGGGATGTGACAACCTGAGGCTAAGTTGGAATCCCAGTTCTACTGGTTGAGACCCAGGTGCTGGAGAAGGGCCTTCTCAGACTGACTCCATCCTAGACAAATTCTGAATGACCACTCCTCCTGATGCCATCCTTTTCTTCCTAGCCCCGTGGCCCCCCACCCTGACCTGTCCCAGGTGGTCAAGCTGGCTGGGTGTGGGGTCAGTTCTGTGTCCCAGGTAACCACACAAGTGTCCAGCCCTGAGCTGCTTTCAACTGTAAGCTTCATCTTTTTCAAAGCTTCAGCTGAGACCCAGCCTACCCTATGAGAACAAGAGGTCCCCTGTGACACTGACCAAAGTACTTAGTGGTGGTGCCATCTTCAGCGTGGACCACAACCAGCCCAGGCCGCAGGACCTGCAGAGTGGGCACATGGGCCGCCAGGATACCAAAGGCTCCAGTGAGTGTGGGCACGTCCACCTGCCGGACGTTGGCACCATTGAAGAACACCTGGAGAAGGTAGCATGAAGAATCACGTTGCTGCTAGCCAGCTTCAACCACCAGCCACTGGGACTTGGGTCTTTCCTGCTGTGAAATGGGTCCTGTTGGGAGGACACAAAGCACTGGCTTTGCTTTTGAAGCAGTTGTTGCCTCGCTTTGATAACATGTAAAATGCCAGGACACTGAACCACCCAGGCCCTTCCTTCCCCAGAGAGATGCCAAGAAGGCTCAACGTAGGGACTGGAGAGCCATCCAGGAGGGACATATCTAGGGAGCTGCCCAGGACAAGGAGCAACGCACGGCCTCAGCGCAAGTCTGGTCCTTAGGCTCGATTCTGGCTGGTGGGAAGACAGGGGAAGGTGCAGGGTCCAGCGACCCCACCGGCTGCAGAGTCAGCCTCCAGACCGCACAGGGCCGAGCGCGGATCCGGGAAAAAGGTGTGGGGGGGGCGGGGGGGGGTCAGGTACCAAACCATAACGAAAAAACCCAGGTGTAGATGCCGGTCCACCAACCCCGCGAGGAGGGGGGATCTCAGCTTGTAAAAGCTTGGTGCGCAGGTCCGGGGCGGACGACCTGGGGGCGAGAGCAATGGGTTTCCAGCCGATGGGGTTGGGACGCGGCGAGGCCAGAGCGGCGGCCGCGCTGGGTCAGACCTGCGTGGGAGAGGCGAAGGTGAAGGACATCTGGCCGGGTCCGGCGGCAGGAGCCGGGGAGGCAGCAGCCTCGGCATAGGCGCGTGCCTGGCGCACGAGGCGGCCCAGTTCCAGGCGGCGGAGCAGTGCGGCGGGCAACATGGTGGCGGCGGCGACAGACAGAGGATTTCGGCAGGCGGACAGTAGATTCCGGCCGCACAGAGGCCTTGAGGACGAGGACGACGGCACGCTGGGGCTTCTGGGAAGTGCAGTCCTGGAAAGTGCGCACGCGCGCACTACGACTCCCGGCGGGCCGTGCGCGACGTCGAGGACGAGACTCCCGAGCCCGCTGCATTTTGGGGTTGTAGTTTCCTTCCGTCCCCAGGCGAGCCTGGCAGGATCCGTGGGACGAGGACAGACGGTTCTGCACCAGGGGGTGGGGGGAACAGACACTTGCGTGCAGGAGGGGACACTTGAGCTTCTAGATTGCTGCGGGGCGCTCACTGGATGCCAGATATTGCAGGGACTTCTGCGATGCAGGAGTCCTGGTCTGGAATGCGAAAAGAATCGTTTAGCAAGCATTAGAGGTTATAAATAATCACATCTGTAGTGTGTCAGGTGACAAGTGCTAAAATAAACGTATAACACAGGCTGAATAAAGGGCGGCCTAGGACAACAGCCAAGATTGCAGCTGGATACGCAGCTGTTTGGGAAACAGCATCACAAGATGGGCACGGATCAGGAAAGCTGCCGACTGGCGGGAGCTGCGCCGGTAGAGGGCGTCTGGCGCCTGAATATGTGTTTGCGCCCTCCAATACCCCACCCCACTCCCTCCGCCCCCGCGCGCTGCTGACGCAGGAGCGCGTGCGCGGGCGGCTGGCGCCGGGGGTGGGGGTGGGGGGGCCGGGCCTGTGGCGTCAGCAATGCCCGCGCAGCCTCGCTTGTGGCCATGACGTCACCGTCCCGCCCCCGCGTTCACTCATATCTGCAACCGGGGTTGGGCTCTGGAACCCCTACCCCTTTGGAGTCCAGGAAAATGCGGGGTCTGGTCTGGTGGGAGGTGGGGCTCACACTGGGACGTGCCTTGTCTGAATAGAGGGCTGGCCCCCACGACTCCAGGTAGTAGTAGAGGGGCTTGGTCACACTTGAGCCAGGTTTTGGGCCCATGGCTAGGCTGTATCTAATCAGACCAGGTGGCTCTGCGGTGGGGGAGTCTTGACACCTCCCGTGGCTCCCCACACCGTGGAGCCTGTGCCCTAGCTCCTGTAAGGGTTCAACCCTCTGTGGTGGTTATTGACCCTAGATTCCAAAATATGCACAGCTGCAGTACTCACATTGGAGGCCCCAGGCCACCGATGTGGGGACACTTTGGACGTCAGTCCCAGTAACCTGGACATTGTAAGACCCTGGGGGAAGATGCAATGGGAAGCTCTATTCCCGTCCCTAGGTGTGCCCTGTGCACATGCCCAAACTCCTGGACCGAGAGCTGGTATCCACCTGCTACTCCACATAGCAGGGATACTTAATGGAATCCTCAAAGGAACATTTTTATTTCTCTTCAATCTCCATGAGGATAGCATGGTTACCCAGGGTCCCCACCTGGGATGATATGGGAATTTCAACCCTGTCCACCCAGCGGTAGCCATCATGGCCACCATCTCTGGCCTGGATGACCCCATCCTCTCCCTGATTCACTATAGGTAGGAGAGTCTCTTTTTAAAAAGCTGAAACCTAGGGCTGGTGGAGTGGTTCAGGAGGTAGAGCACCTCCCTAGTGAGTGTGAAGCCCTGAGTTCAAACCCAGTACCATCAAAACAAAAATATAAAATAAAAAGCTGAAACCTAGCCAGGTGCCACTAGCCCATTCCTGTAATCCTAGCTACTCAGAAGGCCAAGATTAGGAGGATCAACTTGAAGTCAGTCCCAGGCAAAGAGTTCAAAAAACCCTATCTCAGAAATAAAAACACAAAACAGGGCTGGTGAAGTGGATCGAGTGGTAGAGTGCCTGCCTATCAAGCCTGAGGTTCTGAGTTCAAACCCCAGGGCTGTCAAAAAAAAAAAAAAAAACAATAATTAAAAAAAAAAACAAAACAATTAAAAAACCCCAGAAACCTGACCATCTCATTTCCCTACTGGAAACCACATCACAGTATCCTGTTCTGTTTTCTGCAAACACATTTTCCTACTTCGGACCCTTTGCCCATGTAGCTCCAGCTGCCCTGAACACTCACTCATTTGTCTGCCTGTCAACAAGCATATGTTCATTTCCTCCTGTGTGCAGGCCCAGTGCTGATCTTGGGGCCCAGTTGTAAAACAGTTCCTGCCCTGCCTGCCTAGCAAGCATGCAGCCCCGAGTTCAAATTCCAGTACTGTCAAAAAAAAAAGTTCCTTCTCCTTGGAGCTCACAGTGTAATGGGGCCAGACAACACACAGGGGGCAAGTCAGATGCTTGGCTTTGACTGTAGGGCCACACAGAGAGGTAAGCAGAAGTGGGTGGCAGTTGCTGTGTTAGCAAAGGTAGCCGAAGAGGTGGATTCTGGGCTAGGGTGTTGCTCAAAAGTGGAGCACGCTCTGAGCATAGGACAGGCCCTGGATTCCATTCCCAGCACCAAAAGAAAAAAAAGGGTGTTGGCTCCAAGTGGGGTTTCTACCCTGTAGGCACTCTGAGAACAGCGGAGGGACAGAGTAAATTTAAAGGGGAGTATGGTGAACCCTTGACAGTACTACAGGTGATCTGCATAGTATCTAGATCCCCTGGCCAGTACAACCCTGGGGACCCACAGAAGGGTGTGTGGGGGAGGGAAGCACTTCCCATACTTCTAGGGAAGAAGCAAAAAAGGAGTGTGCGCCCCAGGACTTCAGCGCCTTGATGTATCTCCGACGAGGGGAATTCAAGTGCCTGCAGACACTGGCTGTGTTGCAGGAGACCAGAGGGCTAGGAAGGTGAGTCCTGCAGCGGTGCTGGGGGCGGGGACTCTGCCGCCACCGGAGGGGGCGGCTATGCGTGTGCAGGGGGGGGCACCCGGGAGCGCAGGCTCCGCCCCACGCCCCCACCGGAAGGGAAGGGGAGGCGGTGGCCAGCGCAGAACGAGCCAGACGCGGCGGTGAGAGCGGCGGGGGTGGTCGGCTGGGGACCGGGCGATACCGGGCGCACCGAACGGGCGCGCCGCCAACGCGATCACGTGCGCGGCCCCTCCTCTCGCGCGGGCCTCCCCCGCGCGCCGCGCTCTCCATTCATAAATTCTCCGTCTGCTCCGCTGCCACCGGGCGCCGGAGCCAGCCGGGAACGCCGCGTAGCCGCTGCCACCCGCCCGTCCACCGCCCATGGGCCGCACGCCCCAGCGCTGAGGTAGGCGCGGCGGGCCCGGGCGCACGGAGCAGGGGTGGGGAGCGGGCGGGCCTCTCGCAGCCGTCGATGGCGGCCAGGTCCGGGGACCGCCCTGACCGCGGACCACCGTCCTTCCCTGTAAGGTTGTGCGTAGCCAGAGGACACGGAGCGGAGCAGCCGCGCGGGCCTGGGGGCGGTCTGCGCCGCTCTGCACCGCTCTGCACCCCGCTAGCAGTCCAGCAGCCGGGGGAGGGACCCCCGCCCACGCCCTTCCCCGGCCTCAGTTTACCCCGGTGAGAGAATGGCGCTTTGGTCTCCGGTTTAGTCCTGGGTCGAGATGAGCTTGTCATTGGGTACCTTGTATCCTTCTCCCCACCTCCGGGCCTGCTCGAGGTCGCGCGGGCCTCCCGTGGGGCCCTCCACTCTGGGCTTCTGTCTCCGCCCACATCCATGAGTCCACCTCTCCTGCCCTTCCTTTCCATCCATCTTCCCAGTCTTCTCCAGTCACCATCCCTACGCCTCTGCCCCAGCCTGAACTAATTTCTCGACCTACATATAAGCCCCAGCCAGCCTCTTACCCGAGCGCTGAGGACACCTAACCTCCTGGGGAACCTTTCCTTTCTTTGAGCATCAGTTTTCCCCACCATCCAGCTCCAAAGGGGCTGGCAACTCCAGAGCCTGCGCTCTCTTCTTCCTTAGGGGACAGGGCCCTCGCGCGCTTACACACACGCAGCCAACTTGGGGCTAGTGGCTAGAGCAGCCCTACCCTTGGTTCCTGAGACTCCAGGGTCTTTCTTGCCCTGGCATGGGTCAGGTGCAATTTTCAGCAGCTTTTCTGAGTGCTGAGTTCCTGCCCCAGCCTCAGTTTCCCCCAAAGTCGAGGCAGCCATCGAGGCCCACTGGCTTGGGCCTGGGCGGGCAGCGGGCGGGAGGAGCAGCCATCTTGTCAGCAGCTTGGGGCGCCCCTGCAGGCGGCCTCTCCCCCCCCCCCCGCCCTCTCCCCGCCTCCCTCTGCCTGGCAACCCGCCCCCCCAGTGCGGCCTGCTCGCCGTCGCCATGGGAACCAGATTCCTCGGGGCAGGAACAGATGCGCCTCCTTTGTCCTTTCCACTCCCACCAGCGTGGGCACAGAGAGACCTTTACCTCCCGAATCGTGACTTGGATGTTACTGGCGTAGCCCTCCCGCTCTGGATGCATCCCCCCCATCCCCCCCCGCGCCCCAATTAAGGCTCCTGAAGGATTGGGGTAGCCCTTCTTTCTCCATGATGGAGCCAAAGGGGTACATGGGGTCTCCTGCTCCCCATTCCTCCAAGCCTCGCCTTCCTTTTCTTGGGCAGGGCTCCTGGCCCACGCAACCTTGCTAGGCCGGCCACACCAGCCTGGGAGGTGGTTGTGATGTGTACACACATATGCACTGCCACCTTTTTAGTGGTAAAGATGGCAAAATGGAGGTCCCGGGAGAAAAGCCCCCAGGCCAGGCCTACCAGGTGCTCATGCTGCAGAGCTCAGCCCCTCCTGTCCATGAGTCACCACTGGTGTGGGCTGCTGCTCCTGGAAGGAAAGAATGGGGCTTATTTCCAGGCAAGCCTATGGGAAGGGCCCACAATGCTGGAGATAAACAGGCCTTGTCCTCTCCAGCCTCAAGATGCAGCCCACGGCCACCATGGCCTCAGCCGCCACCACCACTGCCACCATTGCCCTGACGACGTGGGACAATGCCACCAGCCGCCCCACGGTGAGTGACTAGGGGGATGGTTTGTGAGTGGGAAGTCAGCCCAGCTGTGGGAGATCCTGACCCTCTCTTTGTCCCCTCCACAGTCCGAGCCAGATCCCATCTTGGACAACTATGTGCTTCTGGTGGTGGTGATGTCGTTGTTTGTCGGGGGCACCCTGGTGGTGCTGTCCGGTGTTCTGCTGCTGTGTAAACGCTGCTGGGAGGTCCATCAGCGCTTCAACAGGTACTCCCCCACACCCCCACCTCAGACCTGGAACCAGACAGGGGGCAGGGGGCAGGGTCTCTGAGCATGGGGTTTTGGATATGCTTAGGTTCCATACCACTCAAATTCTATCCCTCTCTAGGGCCATGGAAGAAGCAGAGAAGACCACTACCACCTACCTGGACAACGGCACCCACCCAGCCCAAGGTGAGTGGCCCACCCAGCTCCACCACCCCGTCCGTCCATTTGTCCGTCCACCTGCCTACCCCTCAGCCACCCACCTGCCCCCTCGGGCCGCCTGACCGTCTGTGTCTGTCTGTCTCCCCCACCAGACTGGGCGCAGCTCGATTCCGACTCATCTCTGTTTCCTTAACGCCCAGGCGTAGGTGCGCACAGGCGCGTGCTGAGCGAGTGAGTGTGTGAGCGGATGAGCGAGTGCCCGCCGCCCTGCCCGCCCGCCGCCCGCCCTGTCCTGCGGTCACTCGGCCCCGCGCCCCTCCCTGTCCCTCCCTGCCCAGCGGTCTGCCCAGGACGGAGCGTGGCCCACCCGGGGCCCACCCTCTCTTGGCTCTCCTCGCAGACCCCGACTTCAGGGGGGAGGACACCGAGGGCCAGGACACAGAGACTGAGCGCTTCCTGTCCACCAGCTCCACTGGTCGCCGGGTCTCCTTCAACGAGGCTGCCCTCTTTGAACAGAGCCGGAAAACACAGGACAAGGGCCGCCGGTGAGGGGGTGTGGCACTGGGCTGCCGTCCAGGGGACATGGCTACTCCATGGTAAAGGCTGGGGCTGAGGGTATGTTCCTTGAGAACTTAGACGCCTGTATCCAGCAGGGTGGACAGCAGAGAGCAGGGATCAAACTAGGAGATCCTGTTGTAGAGTCAGAGATTATGGTGTGCTGATAGGTGTACCTGTGCTTACAGGTACACCCTGACAGAGGGGGACTTCCACCATCTCAAGAATGCCCGCCTCACTCATCTCCACCTGCCACCCCTCAAGATTGTCACCATCCATGAGTGTGATGCTGGTGAGGCTAGCTCAGCTGCCACACCTCACCCTGCTACCACTTCCAAGGACAGCCTGGCCATTTTCCAGGTGAGGGCTAGGGCTGGCAAGCAGCCAGCTTGGTGGGTGGGTGGCTGTGGATTGGGTGGGCTGGTGGGAGTCCTGGCTAGGGGGTGGCTGGTGGCCAGAAGGCTGAGCCAAGCATGTCCCCCTCACCCACCCGTGCTCTTTGACCTGTCACTGCTTCCTCCCCCACCGGCTCTGTCCCACAGCCCCCGGGGAAGGCCCTCACTGGCCGCTCCGTGGGCCCCAGCTCCGCCCTGCCAGGTGATCCCTACAACTCAGCTGTGGGCACCACTGACTTCTCGGAACTCAGCCCCTCAACATCCAGCGACTCTGGGGAAGGCACCTCGGTGAGGGCTCCCCTGAGCTCCCCCAGGATGTCTAAAGGTGGGGGGGCCCTTCTCCCTGCTCCCCCTCCAAAATGGAGGTCAGCTTATGCTTTCCACCTGCCATGGCCCTCCTTGTCTTGTCCTTGCACAAGGTATGTGATGTGTGTTCACACTTGGAAGGGCTACCCCAGGCTCTCACCATATATCATTCTAAGCTGTTGGAGCACGCATGGCCAGTGTCCACTCTCTCAGCCTAAGGAAGAGAGCTCCTGGACATAGCCCTTGGGAGCCCTGCTTTTCATTCTCAGTCTCCTCTGCCCAGGAAGAGGCAGGGCCCAGGAGAGCAGAGTTGGCCTGAGGGAGGCAGGGTGGGTGTTAGAGGGAGGAGGCCTCAGCTCCAAGACCCTCCCCAACCCCCACCCGGAGCAGGTCTTACACATCTGTCTTAGCAGTGGGTCAGTGTGTTGGAACTCCCAGCAACCTGCTGGGGCCAGCCCACAGGCCAAGGAAGGGACTGTGCCTGAGAGTCAACCCTGTTCTCTCCCAGTTGGATGTGGGTGCCAGGGGTGCCAAGGCTGGTGGTCCCGGGGCTACAGTGGTGCCTGGAGAGACAGGCACAGGCTCTGGGGGGGGCACCGTGCTGCAGTTCTTCACCCGATTACGCCGCCATGCCAGCTTGGATGGCGCCAGCCCCTACTTCAAAGTCAAGAAATGGAAGCTGGAGCCCAGCCAGCGGGCGTCCAGTCTGGATACGAGAGGTAAGTCATGGCCCCTGGTGGGTGGCAAGGGGGCATGGTGTTGGCCACCAGGTGCTGCCCATGGGCAGCCACAAGGTGGGAGACTGCAGCCGGGAGGGGCCAGCATTCCAAGGACCACTGCCTGACCAGCAGCACTGTGGGCCTTGAAGTTGCTCAGGAGAACACAGGGCCTGCATTTCTTTGTTGGGACCTATGTCTCATGCACTCTGGTTGCATTTACACTGCTTGATCACAGGAATTTGGTGGTGGGGTCTCTATCATGTGCACTGGGCCATGTGCCTAGGTCCTGAGTCACTGGCATGTCAGGGGCCCATGCCTCATCTCCCTCCAAGGGTAACCTTGGCCAAGACATTTTGCCTGTCTATGCTTGACTCTTCTGCTAGGAAGCACTGGGGCTGGCCTAAGCTAGGGATTGGTAAATGTTTTCTATAATGCTGCGGACAGTAATATTTTTGGATTTTGTGGCCAGATTCATAGATCAACTACTCAGTGTTGCTATTGTAGATAGGAAATGCTTCTAGATAGTACGTAAATAAATAAGTGAGTGTGGCTAGTAGAGGGCTGACTTGGCTGGCAGGCGGTAGCCTGCCTACCCCTGGATACAGGGCTAGACAAGCAGCAGTTACAATCACTGCTCAAGGGACCTTAGCAGATTACAGTAGCCCCGACAGTAAGCCTAGAAACCTGCTACCCTGTGGAGGAGGTGGTGGCAGATCATATAGGACATAGGAAAGGGGTTTGGGTGTCAGAGAATACCTGATGGGTGACAGTGAGCACCCACTTGGACTGGTTCAAGTCATTGCCAGGGAGGGAGCAAGACCCCTGCCATAGCCCAGAGAGGCTCCTGGCTGGGGAAGAGGCCATCAGTTGTCCTGTTCCTGCAGGTTCTGAGATGGAGCCTCGTTTCCTGAGGTTGATTATAGTCACAGTTAGCTACAAAGGCCCAGAACCTGTTTGCTGGGTGGCTGCCCTTCCCACCTCAAAGCCTGCTGGCTCTGAGGGGTAGTGGTGGTATTGGACCATGGGTAGGGATGGGGCACCCCCTCTCCCCCTGCCTAATTCCCCAGGCTAGGGTGCAGCATGTATAAGGTACCTCTCTGCCTCACCTCCCAGCCCCCACCAGCTTGGCCCTGACTCTCCCACATATTCCACTTCCACACTTTGAACTAAGCTGTCCTTTCCCAGGGCTACATGTCTGGCCAGAGCTGCTCTGGGCACTACCACCAGCTGAGACCTTTGAACTCATTCCTGCTCTTTAGCCTTGGGTTGGCTGCCTCAGTGTCCTTACCTGTACTTCAGCATCCACACCCATCCAGTCCTGGGAACAGCCAGAGGACTGAATGTACAGAGGTGTGTGGGAGATGGAGTGCATCAGGCTGACACAACTTCCTCTGTATAGGTTCCCCAAAGAGGCACCACTTCCAGCGGCAGCGGGCAGCCAGTGAGAGCATGGAGCAGCAGGGGGATGTCCCTCCCACAGACTTCATCCAGTACATTACTCGTGCAGGCGATGCAGTGGCCTTCCCTCCCCCCTGCCCCTTTCTGGCCAGCCCCACCAGCCCGCCCCCCGCTCTCGGCAGGTATTTTTCAGTAGATAGAGGTGCTAGGGGTGGGCCTGTGGGCCCCTGCCCTGCTCCATCCCCCCTAGGTGGCCCAGGGAGCACCCTTCTGGCCCTGTGGACACACTCTCGCATCCCCCAGGCAGCTTCGTGGGAGCTGTCAGCTCTCCTGCAAGGACCAGAGAAGGAGGGAAGCAGGGAGACACTGGGTAAGGGTAGCTGGGCAGGCATGGCCCTGGATGATGGCCCAAGGGTCCCCAAGATGGGACGCCTGCCCAGGCAGAGCCATCATGGGCTTGTGCCCATCTTGGTGCTGCAGCTTCCAGGCAGTCTGAGGCATGAAGGGCACCTTGGTGGTCCCAGACCCTCTCCCACCTGCCCACACTCCTTAGGGATGGGGAGTCCCGTCTCAGAAACAGCTGTGACCACGTCAGCCAGGAGCAGCCCCTTCCCAGCCCAAAGACACTGTCCTGAAGCTCTGGTCCAAACCAACTGGATGAGAGCCTGGATGAGGAATGCAGTAAGGGGCCAGCCAAACTTGGGCAGCTCCTGTCTGGGCAGGTGACTTAACTCACCCACAGTGGATGGGTGAGGAGTAGGGCTAAACTGGACTCATTGTGTCCTAGACCATCCCACTTAGCCTTCCTATCTGCCAAGAGGTTAGGAGGAGGGAGATGTCGTTGAGTGCAGCCAGCCTTTGTACCATTGTAGGTGCTGGGGACCTGCAATGGCAAGGGGCTGATAAGCAGGTGCCAGGCACTGTGTAAAGCCCAGTCTCAAGGGTCCCTGACCCAGAGGCAGGTGGGTGGCTGGCTGGGTGGGCCAGCTCTTTGGGCTCTGACCACCTTGGCCTGGATTGCAGGCTAGATGCTGCTGAGGCGGCGGGAGGAATGAGCCCTGAGTCCCCCCCAGAGCTCGGCGTCAGTGTGGGGCCTGAGCAGCAGCAGCAAAAGCAGGAATCAGATGCCACGGAGCAGGCCCAGGCCAGCTACCGTGACCTATGGAGCCTACGCGCCTCTCTAGAATTGCACGCGGCTACAGCCTCAGACCACAGCAGCAGTGGCAACGACCGCGACTCGGTGAGGAGTGGTGACAGCTCAGGGTCTGGAGGTGCAGCACCAGCTTTCCCACCTCCCTCCCCTCCTGCATCACGGCCCAAGGACGGTGAGGCGCGACGGCTGTTGCAGATGGACAGCGGCTACGCCAGCATCGAAGGCCGCGGTGCGGGTGAAGATGTCATTGAGCCACCTGTTGCACCTGCCCTGCCACGTAGCCCTCCCTGTAGCCCACGGGCTTGGCCACGCAGGCCACGCCGCGACTATAGCATCGATGAGAAAACCGATGCACTTTTCCATGAGTTCCTGCGCCATGACCCACACTTTGACGACGCACCACCTGCCGCACGCCACCGCGCACGTGCACACCCACACACACATGCACGCAAACAGTGGCAGCAGCGTGGCCGGCAGCACAGCGACCCTGGCGGTGCACGTGCAGCCCCACTCCCCGGAGCTACAGCTCAGTCCTCTGGAGCATCCCGGCCTGCACGTGCGCCCTTGCGCCGGGGTGACAGCGTCGACTGCCCACCAGACAGCCGTACACTGGCCGTTGCGGGTGATGATCCGGCCATCCCAGTCATCGAGGAGGAGCCTGGTGGCGGCGGGGTCTGTCCTGGCGCAGGCCTGTGCATTGAGCCCGCAGGGGTGCTGCTGGACAAGTTGGCAGTTGGCCTTGATGAGAGGCTCTTTCCGCCATGCCTCGTCTCTTCTGTTGCCGCAGCTCCAATGCTGGTTGTGGCTGCAGCCCCCACATCCCCCGACCACAGCCCAGCCTAATCTCTGTGCTCCCAACCCACCTCTCAGCAAGCTGCTCTGGCCTGGTTCTGGGCCTGGGCCATGGCAGGACAGACCTTGGGGCACAACAGCCTGGTGCACTATAAGGATAGGGTGGACCACAGGGCCCTTCACCCAGGTGCATGCACACAGCCCAAATACTCCTGCTGTCCCAGGTGTACAAGGTACAGCCCTGTGCTGGCCTCTGCCTCCCAGGTGTGCAAGTATACAGCCTTTTGCCAACTCCGTGCTCTCCAGGTATACACACACACTGTTCCCTCTGGGCATTTAGTGGGTCGCAATGGCATCCTCAGACATGAGGTGTAAGGACCTAGGCTCTGCTGGAGGGAGAATTAAGTTCTCTTCAGGCTTTGGAGAACATTCGATTTTTATATAGCGGCAATGGCTGTCCAAAATCTTGGGGGGCTGAGAAACAGTTCCTAAGGCTCATGCACATAGTCCCAACAGGACCTGCTGAGCCTTAAGGAGTCATGAGCAGGTGCTGGGGGTCTGCTGCCTGCCAAACCCACTGAGGCAGGGACCACAGGATTGTGGGGCACTAAGGGTTGGAGATGGGCTTGCTGACCTTAGGCCTGGAGGTTGGCTCACTGTGGATACCAAACCACCCCCCTTCCCCAGCTGTTTACCTCACCTCACCACCATGTGTGCTGCCAGTGCCCCCCTCCAAGCAATAACTGTCTGCCACCACCAATGCTGCTGCTGCTGCCGCCGCCACCGTGGCCCCTAACCAGTCCTGAAAGGAACCGCTGGGCCCTGGATGCGGCTCTTCTCTGTGTCCAACCCTGTACACCCAATGCATGTAGACGGCGCACTGTCCCTGATTTGTCCCATCCCTTCAAGCCACTGGGGTAACAAGTGTTGGAGACTTGGACAAAACTGCCCAGGTGGTAAGGCTTAAAGTTTCCCAAGTTTTATTTATTGCCAAGAGATGGGGCAGCCCTCCCCCGCAGCTGAGTGCCCGTCCCACCCCTTGAAGCTTTTTGCCCAATCTGTACTGTCCATTGATGGAGTTTCTTGTGTTTTGTTCTCTGGTTGATTATATTTACTGCATACTGTTGTTTGCTCTGGCTTTCTCTGGGGTTTCAAGACCACAGTGGCCTTGGGGGAGAAAGAATCAGGGTCTGCCAATGGCCTCTACCACGGAGCTGGGAGGCAGGGTAAAGGGAGAGGTCCATCAAGAGGGAGCCAGAGGGCCAGCTGAGCAGGATCTGGCCCTGGTTCCACCACCCACCCTAGGAAAACGTGGGGTCCCATCTGATCCCTGCATATGAAAGAACCCCCACTCCCATGCCTCCCAGCAGTTCCCAAACACCCTCACAGTCATAGCTCAAATCCACCTGTTTTATTAGAAAAAAGAAAGGAACCAACCAAACAACAAAAACAAGGCAGCCGAGGCTCCCTCGGGCAATTCTGCATGCAAGGCGGTTGACAGGAAGTCTGGTCTCCGGCCTTCTGTGGCCGAGCATCCCCACACATCAGCAGGTGTGGGAGGCCCTAACACAGCAGTGAAAACCACCATGGGGGCGACGGAGAGCCAGTAGTCTAAACATAAAGTGCGTCTCGGAGGCCAGGCCTCTCCCTCCCCAGACTGGGGAAGGCTCCTCACAGGACTGCAGGGTGAAGTCCTGTCCACTGTCCAGTGCTGCTGTGTGCAGACAGCCCAGGGGAAGGCTGGGCCCAGGTCCCTGCTGACCCCCTGCCCGGCCATTGTGCTCCTGACGTCCTGAGCACTCAGCATAGAGACATGGCAGCCACTTTCCCTGGTGGGTGATGGGCTGGGAACCTGCAGGAAGACTGAGGAGGGCCTGGATCGTGGTACCTGGCTGAGGGTCCTGGTGACAGGCTGCAGGTAGGAGGACAGGCAGGTCACTCTTGGCAACTGGACCTCTCTGTCCCCGAAGGGCAGGCTTCACCCATGGAGTAACTAAGGCCTGACCAACAGGGGCTGTCAGACTGAGCCCCAGAGGGTAGGGCATCAGGGAGCCCAGGAAAGTCATGTGAGTCACTCCCAAAATAATCTGCAGCAGACCTGACCTCCCCACAGTTAAGTGCTGCTGGCCAGCTGAGCCGGCTCTGGTAGCAGTAGAGCAGTAACACGGGCCTGTATGACCCATGATTAGGCAGTAGTCCCCGTAACAGAAGACGGGGATGGGGCTGGGCAGAGTTGTGGCCTCAGGTGCCCATCTCTCTGGGACCTGATCCCCTTCATGGGAGGGGCAGGCACACAGGAAGGGCCATCAGTGTTCATTATGACTCAGCCTCACCAAACCCTAGCAAGGCAGGCAGCTGGCCAGAGCAAGCAGGGTAGCCAGGGTTGCTCCTGCCCTCCACCACCCATGCAGCTGTCTCAAGAGGCAAAGCAGATCCAGCATTGACCTCTCAAGGAACACAGGTGACTCCAATGCAGCTCCAAGGGGAGCAGAGCTGGTTTAGGCCACAGGTGTTGGTTTGGCTGGATGGGGTCCATCCACCCCATCTCAGTCCCTGCCACAACCCAGGGGGAGGGAGTCTGTGAGTGAAGAGCAATAGGACAGCAGACTGCTACGGGGCTATAAGGCTGCAGTGACAGGCTGTGGCTGCACCAGTGCCACCCTCATTCTCAGACTTGGGCTCAGGGCTGAGAGCTGGAATGAGCTTGGGTCAGAAGAGACACTGCTCCTGCTGAGTGGAATGGGCACCTTGTACACACAGGCTCAGAAGCAGTCTGTGTGTCCCTAAGGAGGCACTGGGGCCTGGGGCCTAGTGCCATGTGTGTTATCCCCCCCAACCTGCCCACCTGCAGGAGATACTCTCACTGCTGCTTGCAGGCTGACAGCCGGCGGATCTTGCTGCTGGCGCAGGCCTTGCGGGCAGGGTGGGTGGCACCAGCCCGGCATTCTGTCTTCGACTTGCTGCTCAGCTGTGCTGATTCTGTGCCATTCATGCATACAGCCTTGGGCAGGCCATAGCTCTGTCCATTCTGACTGGCCTCCTCCTCCAGGACCTGTCCTAGGAGGAAGAGGGCAAGGTGGCTTGAGCCAAGCAGCACCATCCAGAGCCCCTGGCCAGGCTGTGCCCCCACCTGTACAGTCTGACTCCTCTCCAGCCTTAAGTAAACCCTCAGGAGGACTATCTGTCCAACCTGGCCAGGGGCTTCCCACGGTAGCTTAAACAGGAGTGACCCCTCTGCCCACCATATACTGCTGTACCAGCCTGGGACCCATGTGGTACTATGTGAGTCTGGTCTGCAGGGCCTACAATCCAGTAGAGAGCTGCACGCTCACCTGCCTGTTCAGGTGTGGGCCAGGGGTACTCTGTACACCCTCCAACACAACTCACAGGGTATAGAGCTTCACCTGAGGAACAGAAGGAGCCTGGCTCCAAATGCCCAGCACAGGCCCCCTGGAGAAAAAGTGCTTGGCCTATGGGCCATCAGAACTCCCACTGCCCCAGCCCCCATAGTTGCTAAGCCTGCCCAGCATCCTGTGTCCCTGATACATCCTGCCCAGCTGGACCCTGTTCTCACAATGGTTGTAGGGAAGTGGTGAGAAATTAGCCTCTTTGAAAACTCCAGCAGCAAGAGAGGTGCAGACACAGCCCCTCCCCCAGAAGATGCACACGAAGTCACTTGGGGTATGAAGTATGGCTGGGCCAGCCCTAAAAACATCTCAAATGCTGCCCTGCCAGCAGCTCTCAGGCACAATACAGAGCCACTCCTTAAAGGGACCACTGCCTGACTCAGTGGCTTCCAGAACTTGCCCTACACCCATGCACAGACCTCATCAGCTGTAAAAAGACACCTTGGTAATGAGGCATCACCCTCATCCTCAGGTCTGGGCTGAGCTGGAACACACAAAGGGGTCAGAAACAGGTCTGAGTACTGTGAGCTCAAGGGTATCTGGGGCCATCTCCCTCACACATGCAGGTTCCAGGCTCCATAGCTGCTCATGTATCACCCAAAGGCACCAGGTGGGGAAACTTGTCCTGCCCCAGAGCCCCGTCCCCCACCTTCTGGCTTGGGACCCAGCCCCTAGGATGAGTGACATAATCCCCATCCTGGATGGGAACAGGCCAAAATGGATCCAAATCTGGGCAAGTGGGACAGCCAAGCTGGCCCCGTGAGCACTGCCAGAGCCACAAAGAGCTCAGAGGACCCCAACTAACCTAGCATGGCATCCCAAGTCAGGGAAAGCTCAAGCGATGGAGTGCTTCTGGGGCCACCAAGGGAATCGGGCACCTGAGTGGGGAGTTTCCACCATATATGCAGGATCCATCCCCCTGGCCCTCCCTGTGGGGCTCACCTTCCTTCAAGCCAAAGCAGGCCAGAGAAGCTTGGGGGCCTGAGGGTCCCCAGGCAGGGATGGCGTCCTTGAGAGCAAGTATACACCCAGCCAAATCACGCAGCCAGAGGCCCCTTGCCAGGTAGCTGGTTCCTGCAGGTGTCCTGGCTCATACAAAACTTGGGGGATGTCTCAGAGTCAGCTTGTAGTCCATGTACCAGCATAGAACACCTGGGTACCTGGCTGGGGCCATGTCTTGCCCCCTCTTAGGCTGCAGACTGGGTTTCAGTCATCTGTCTGTGATGGGGCCCTCACGGTCTGGAGGCAGCCCCTCTCCTCTCTCCTGTTCCATGGAGGAGTCTGCAGGCCTCAGACCTAGGGCCAGACTGCAGCCAGGACTGTGCTGTATGTCAGATGCAGAACCCCCAGGACACCAAGGATGTGGCTGGTACTTAGCAGCACATCTGACAGGAGGAGGTACAGATCCTAATGCCCCCAGAGAGTGGGATGCCTTCAGGGCCCTGCCCCTGCCTGCTTCAGGGCTGTTTCTGCTCTGCACTAGGGACTGCCCATGCATCTCACCTTCCCAAAAGCTGGCAGCTGGGAGCTCAGCTACTCTAAGGATCCAAGGGCCCCAGACATTGCAGTGCTGTGGGGCTGGCTTGAGGGGAGCAAGATATTAGGATTCCTCAGGGCTGGACATATTCTGGGACCCTCCAATGGACATTGGTTACCCCCTGCCCTAGGGATCTGGCTCACAGCCCCACCTTGCCTGCCCAGTTTGCCTTTTCAGGCCTCTGCACACCAGTTCTGTGAAGTAACCAGGTAGGAAGTCCCGGCCCTCGGCATCAGCCCTATGTGGGACCTGGGGGAAGGACCAGGCAGCAGCAAGCATCCATGTGCAGACACATAGCCCAGCAAAGTTTTATGCAGAAGGAAACCAGGTGGGGGACGAAGGGGTGCTGCTGAGGAGGATAGCAGCCAGAGCAGGCTATATTAAGGCTTCCAGCTCCTCCTCAGGCACTATCGCAGTGCCTGTTGCCTCAGCTTCCTCTCCAGAAATGTCTGTGCCCTGGCTCTTCTGCGCACATCTCTCCTCGCTAAGCCCTGCCTCAGATGCCTCCTCGCCACCTGGGAAAGTAAGGGCAACATGGGGTCAGGAAGCAGGGGACAGGATGGAGGGCCTCTGGACCCTCTTGTATGGCTGGCTGAGAGTGACCCTGCACATGTTCCCACAGCCCATAGGAAAAAGCAAGAAGCTCTTGCTGGACTTGGGCCAAGAAGGTACACAGGAGGCACTGGATAGCACCTGAAGCTTAGATGCCCAGGAAGCCCTCCCGGCCAGACCAGCACCAGCTAGCAACCAGCTGTGCATGGCTGCCATAGGGTGGAGGCACTGGGGACAAGGCATCTTCCATCAGAAGCAAAGCAGCCCTAGGGGGTGGGGGGTGGGGGGGAAGAAATGACCCAAACATTGTATACACATATGAATAAAAAAAATAAAAAATAATAATTAGAAAAAAAAAGCAAAGCAGCCCTGCCATAGACAGGCAGGTACCCATGCAAAAGACATGCAGTCAAGGTTAGCTCCATACACCTATGGCCATGGCCTCTGCTGCTCACCAGGCACAGTGAAGTCCTGGGTATAGATGATGCCATCCTCGATGTCGAAGAGGTCCTCATCCTCTTCCTCAGCACGGCCATGTAGGTCCTCCAGGTATGGCACCACTGTCATACTGCGCCACCGGTCCTTGGTGTCCGGGCTTGGTGGGATGGGCACCAGTACCTCAGCCAAAGGGTGTTTCTTCCGGAACCAACTACAAAAGCCCAGACACAGTGATGCCCATCAGGATGGCTAATCAGTGACCACTGTCCCACTGCTCATGCAGGAACTGGGGACCATGCTTCACAGCAGGGTGGCTATGGCCACAAGGTTCAGCCCCATTCAGCCACTGGTGTGACTTCAGTTGCTTCTGTCTGCCACTGCTAGTGACCAGGCAGACCACCAAGAAGAGGATGCTGCTGTGCCATCCCTGGGTGGTGGAGTGGCCTCTGGTCATGCTCCATGAGCTCTGGCCCCCACCATAACAAAGGGAGTTTAGACAGATAAGGCTGCCGTTTGCCTGGGATTCCAAGGCTTGGTGGGGTAGGGAGAATCTGCAGGATGCCCACAGCCTCCATGGTTGTCTTTGGCTACCTCTCCAGATAAAGGCACATAGATCTTGGGCACCCAGGCTGTGGGCACATAACCTTCTCAGGGAAGCTGGGTCCAGGTCCTTCCATATGTATTTACGCTAATGCTGGCGCCCTAAGAAACCTTCTAACTACTGCCTGGAGCTGACATCTGCACTGTAGGCTGAATGATAGTGTCTAGAGTTGACACACATCCCACCCGGTGGGAGGACGGTGGCTGCCATGGCAAACAACCTGCTGGAAGCTCTTCCCCAGGGAGGGCCTTGTTGGGCCTTGACCTAGGATGAGGCCATACCCAGGGCTGTGCTGCACCCATCTCATACCTAGCACCCAGGGCCTGAGAACCTGCATGCATACCCCTACACATCAATCCCAGCAATCCCCAGACGCTGTCCTCACATTACCCAGGGCTCCTCCAGCTGGAGGTCAGTGAAGGCTGGGAGGGGTCAGAGAGGTTTTGTACCCACTTCAGTATATCCTAGACCATGGAAGCTGTGACCCCTTGGGGAGCCCCACACACCTTACCCTGCTATCTGGACCTCTTGTTGGGGCCGCCCATCCCCATGTCCACTGAATCAGCCTCCACACTAAGCTGACTGCTAAGGAACAGGGCCATGCTGGGGGCCAGAAATAATGCTCTCCCTCAGAGCCCCAGCAGCCCCAGCTGCTGGCCCCATCTACTCCAAAATCCTTCCAGATGATCCAGCTAGGCCCACCCTGGCACCCCAGCTTCTCCCAAGTCCCCAGTGTACATTGGTACCAGCTGCCCTCACCCCTCAACTAAGGACAAGAGGAGCCCAGGATGGGGGAGGTAGTGACACTGTGATCCCCCATCCTTGCACATCTCCTTCTCTTCTCTCTTCAGAGCCTCTGGGCTCTGGGCTGGGTGTCCTGGTATGCTGCTATTGTTGGAGGATTGAGGATGGAAGGAGAGGCACACACACTCTGCATGCACACCACCAGGACCCACAGCTCAGACGGGCCTTACAAAGCACTGCCCACACTCCCCAGGCTGGCCCTATGGGGCTGAGTGAGACTTGTCATGGACCCACCTTCCTGTGGGCCTTTGTGTCTCCTCAACCCAGACATCCAGCTAGCTGACTGGCTTCCTCTTGGTATTTAGATAACCCCACACAACTGCACCTGCTGCTGCCAGCAAGCCAAGGGTCAGGGGCCCGGCCACGCACCTGTGCTGCCTGATCTGCCGTATGGAGAACCTCTTGGCCGGCTCATACTCCAGCATCCCTGAGGAGAGCAGCAGGACTGGGTCAGCACCACACGTGAGCCCCCTGTGCCCACTGGTGCTATTTGTCCCATCTGTCTGTTCACTGCCTCCCCCCCATGCCACCCTCTGTGAGGACAATCCTGTTTGGGAGATTGGATAACAATCCACCCAAGCCCCATATGCCCTGAGCACCAGGACCTACAAGTATAATCTCAGCCCAAAGCTGAGAGGTGTCACACACCCAGCCTGGTGCAGAAGGGGAGGCACTGGTGCAGAAGGGGAGGGGACAAGGCAGGCTGAGGTCAGCACTGGGCTGTGGAGTGTGGACAGAGACATGCCATTCTCCCTAGGCCATCAGAGGCAGCTGGCTGGTCAATGCCACCTGCTGTACCATTTGGGAAACACGGCATGCCCCACAAGAGCCTACAGGGACATAAGTGAAATCACACCTGAGACTCCTGATGCTGGCATGGTGGCTAATGCCTTCAGGGGCACCTCAATGAGGTCCCAGAGCAGGCGGCAGAGCCCGGGAGAACCAGGCCCTACAGGTGAGAGGTGTTGCCTTTATAGACCAAGCCGACCAACACATCCCCACCACTGTCAATGAACAGCTGGAAGCCCTCCCCCTGCAGCAAGGCTATGGGGAACACTGGGGAGCTACACAGAGGAGCCTCAGTTCACAAGAGGCAGAAAGGACAATGAGGTCTCAAGCCACTGGTGGGAGACTTCAGGACCCCTCACCAGCTGGCACTGTGCCAGGGCCTTTGCCCTCAGGTGGCATCACTGCTAGGACCCCATCCTCCCTGATGCACACATCCAAGAGCCCATGCTGGGCCACAGGCTGGTAAGATGCCCACCTTTGAGCAGGTCGGAGAGCGGGGGGCCGCAGTCACCAGGGATCGTGAAGTCCCCCTTCCCGATGTTCTCAAACAGCTTGTAGATGTTGTCCCCCTCGAACGGGTACAGGCCCGTTGTGATGTTGTAGCTTCATACCCAAGGGGAAGGAGGAGGGTCAGCTATTGGCGGCACCCTCAGAGCCCTCAGCATGGCTGTCCGTGGAGGCCTCGTGGGCTCCAAGACAGGCCACTTGTGACCATTTCCCACTCCCGGAGGCAGGACTCGCCCCTGAGAGAGGCTGAGTGAGGAAGGAAGAGGAAGTGTTCCCTGGACCCACTGCAACAAGTTTCTTTTTGGGTAATGAAAATGGTAGGAATTGGTAGACTGGTGTTACACTTCTCTAAATACAGCAACCCTGTGGGAATGTGCACACTAAAGGGACATGTGGAATGTGAGTTGCATCTCAACAAACAGATGGATGCCCACCCCATGGCTGTAGGCTGCAAAGATTTGGACTCCTGATCACATCCTATACCTGATAGGGCCCACAGGCACCAGAGAAACGCTGCCCTCCCTTGGGCCACATTCACTGAGTGTTCAGGGTAGGACCAGGGTCCAGGGCACTTACAGCGTGACTCCAGCTGACCAGATGTCCACCTTGAAACCAGAGAAGGTGTCCAGGCCATTGGCAATCTCAGGCGGCTGGAACGCTGGGGAGCCCTGGCTAGTCCGGCAGGTGTCGTCCACAGCAAACGGGTGTAGGGCCTGTGGCAGTGCCATGCGGCCCTCAGGGGAGTGCTCGGGAGGGCCCACACCCTTGGACCCCACAGGACTGGCTCCTACCTCAGCAACACCCAGGTCGGAAATCTTGAGCGTGCCGCTAGTGGTGAGCAGCAGGTTGCCAGGCTTGATATCCTTGTGCACGATGCCCTGGCTGTGCAGGTATTCCAGGCCATCGATGAGCTGGCAGAAGTACCTGCAAGGGAGGCAAACCTGTCTCCAGACGGGCCCTGGCCAGAATCCCTGAGCACCTGGGGTCCCTCATGTATAACAGCTGCCCAAGGTAAGGTCTTCTAAGTAATCTGGGAGCTTTGCAAGACAAGAGGCCATAGGGGAGCCATCATTTTGGGTCCAGGCAAACAGATATGCTAGAGGAAAGGCCAGGCCCCAGTGGGGAACCACAAATGGCCCATGGCTAAGGCTGATCCCTGCCTAGGTCCCACAAGGCCATGGTCACTTCTGCCCAGCCAGGGACCCCAGGCTCACCCCTCTGGCCTTGCTTCTTCTTTGTGCCACAGATCAGATGGACCCCACTAGAACAGTGAGCACCAATCCATCCCATGGTCAACCAGGGATCCCAACTCTGCTGCTCCTGGGAGGGTTGATTAGGCCACAAGCGGCTGCCAGGGATTTCTGATAACCAGCTGGTCCCAAAGGCATAGCAGCTTCTCAGGGCAGTGGACACACGGACCTGACAGGTAGAAGGGTCCCCATGGCAGACAGGTCTGCACAGATGGACTGTAGGTACTAATTTTAAACACTGTTTAAAAACACCTGCGCTTTCACAATGATGACCACCAGAAACTGCAGTGTGAACTTGAATCAGCTCACCCAAGGCCTGGAGACCATAAATAGGTTAGCCTCTGGATTTGGCCCCACTCACCCGTGGGCCTGGCACACAGGGAACCGCTTCTCAGGCACACTATCCAGCATCTCTTGCATGCCACACACACAGTACTCCATTACCATATACGTAGGGTGCTAAGGAAACACATCTCCACAAGCAACCCCTCTCCCAGCCCCACAGTCTAAGCCCTGGGGAGTTTCAGCAGCAGCTCATGGGAAGGATTACCCAACTGCCTCCACTCTGGAGAGATCCTAGAGCAAGCCAGTGTGCTTGGGGGCAGAGTTTAGGGCCCTGCAGAGACAGGAGACCAAGGCCCCTCATATCCACACCCATCTTCTAGCACCCAGGAGGTACAAATGACAAATCCTACATGGGTCTCTGCCCCTCCATGGGCCAGGACAGCTCTCTGCCCACAACAGAACCAGAGTCAGACCTGCTGGCTTGGCCACAGCTTGGCAGAAAGGAGTCCACCCAGCAGGCTTGGCCACCCCCACTATGAGGGAAGGAGCCTCCTTGAGAGTTAAGGTCAGGCCGTGACACACCTGGCTTGACACCCCTACAAATACCTCACTTCCCCTGCTCACGATACCCTAACAAACAGGCTCAGGGATCCATGCACAGCAATCACAGTAGTTCCTGCCAACCCCAAGCACCAGAGACCTCCAGACTCAGGTTGGGTGCGCAGACCACCGCACGGGCACAGCCCAGGTTCTAGTGCCATCAGGTGGCCCAGCCATGAGATTCCACCAAGAATCCTACCTTGGGGCCCAGGAATGGCAGAAAGGAAATCCCTGTATCAAGGTGCCACCCTAGAAACAAGGATGTGGCAGGCTTTACCCATGACATCCCAAAAAAGTAGGCACCCAAGGTTGAGATCCCCACTCACCACACCAGCCTTGCCAGTGTGAGAGGATGTCCCATCCAAGGAAGCTCTCATACCCCACCAGCACAGGACAGCTGAGGGGTCTGGCAGGGGATGCACACAGATACCATAGGCCCACAAAACAGTGACTGACAGGAGGAACTACCAGAAGGCAAGGCCCTTCTTTATTTGTTGTCCACTCCCAAGTGCCTACCCACAGCCTGCCACAAGAAAGGATATATCTTTTGCTTCTCCTCGTTGTACAGCACATCCACCAGCTGGATGACATTTCTATGCCGCAGCCGCCTCAGTAGCTGGATCTCCCTGGAACACAGAGGAAGAGAGGCATCAGCAGACACCAGTGCAGCAACCATGACCCGGGGTTGGGCTACCAGTCTACAAATAAATGAGTGCTCCACACCTCAGCCACAGCCTGGGCTACCTACCCATGGATGTAAGCCAAGTGTAAACAAGGCAGGGCAGCCTTCTCTTTTCCACTCCATGGGAATACCCTGCTTCCTTCCACTGAAGAGACAGCCAGCAGACAGTACCACATTGGGTCCTCACCAGCCAAGGAGGCTTTGACAGTCTTGGGACCAGGACAGTGGGAACAGGTGCCATCATCATTGGGAGAGCCAAGAGGGTCATGACACTCCCTATATAGTGTCAGGTGGGCTGGGCACCCCTCTCAGAGAGAGGCACCTTCCCTTGCCTCAGCAAGGACAAAACCATCAGGACAGTTTGAACTTTTTAGCCAAGAGTAAGTTTTGTTTCACACAGACTAAGCACCTATCATATGCAGAGCCAGGACTATGTTACCGGCTGGAGAGTCACATACAGGATCAGGCCACCAGATGTCTCTCCCAAGACTCCACTCCCATCTCCATTTTTCCCAAGGCCCATTACCGATGGACATCCCAGGTGAGCTCCAGATGAACTGGAAGGACAGTCTAGAGAGATGGTGTGATGGTAACAGCCAGCACCAGAAACGGATGCTGTGGTGCCCATAAGGCACCGGCCACCCATAAGGGTCACTATCCAGTAGGCCAGACAGAGGCTTCATTTCTCCAAAGTTTAATCAGCAAGGGGGCCCTCACACCCAGTTATTAAGACACGTTGCCATGTGACCTAGTAATTCCACACACCCGGGAGACCCAAACCGTCCCTGATGATAGCCATGCAGAGGTGCTTCCAGCAAGACTCAGAAGTCAAGAGGTGAAATAGTCTAGTGTCCACCACAGATGGACAAGGAGACACATGCAGCATCACTCAGCCATGAACAGGAGGTTCTGACATCCACAAAACAGAGGGACCTTGAGGACACCATGCTCACTGAAAGAACCAAACACAAAAGGCTCCACAGCATGTAACACCATTGGTCAGAAACATCCACAAAAGACAAACCCAGAGATATAAAGTGGGCTCATGGGTGGGGGAGCTGGGAAATGTGGGGTGACTTTTCATGGGGATGGGGCTGCTTTTGTTGTGATGGAATGTTCTGGAACTAGATTATGGTGATGGCCATAAAACTGTGTGTGCATGTACATGCCACTGACCTGGGTGAGTTGTATGATATGAATTTCATCAGTTTTTTTTTTTTTTTGTGGGACTAAGGTTTTGAGCTTGTAAAACACACACTCTACCATTTGAGCCACACCTCCAGTGCATTTTGTTCTGGTTATTTTTGACATGGGTCTCACAAACAATTTGCCTGGGTGGCCTCAAACCTCAATCCTCCCAATCTCAGCCTCCCAAGTAGCTAGGAATACAAGAGTGAGCCACTGGCACCCCGTTTTTTTCTTTTCTTGTTCTCCTTCTTCTTTTACATCATTATTAGGAAACCAAAGCATGACACAAAAGCTCTGACTGGGGAGGGGCATTCCGTTGCTCAGCTTGCCCAGCCCTCCTGAGGCTCTGCCTCTTTCAGGAAGCCTCCCTGAACACTGTCCCCAGTGCAGCAGTCCTGCAGCCCTGTGCTTCCCACTACCCTCGGGCAACCTCATGGACTCGGACAGGGTCCTATCAGGACAGGGACAGGAAGAGGCTGAGGGTTGATGAGCAGCTACCAGTTTGGTGTTGCACATGAGGCTGATATGCCTGCACTTCAATCCCTCTGGGCTGTGAGTACACCAGCAGTGCCAATTCCCAGCAGGCCTGACAAGGTTATTTATAGAGCTGGCAAGGGCCCACATTCACAGCACCCAGGGCCTCAAGGGGGATGCTGGGGCCAAGTTGGACCCAGCCACAGCCCCTCCTCAGGAGAGCATGGGATAGGCCTGAGGGGCCTCAGGGCTCAGCCTCAGTCTGCCCTTCTCCCAAGGCTTGGTGTGGCCTTGACCTCCCCCACCAATAGGGTCACAGACCTGGAAATAGGATGTATGTCTGCCTAAGGTAGAGCTGGTGTAACATGAGCAGGATATGTGTTCAGACAGTAGACACTGAATGCCCTCCCCCCGACCCCCAACAGGGCCAAGGGTAGCAGGAAGTCTAGTCTTCGGGGTCTTGTGCTAGCTACTCAGGGCTGCCCAGGCCAAGAGGTAGCACCAGCCCAAGTGGCCACTGAGTTACAGAAACCAGGCACTCAGACATGTGGGGCTATGGGCTGGCCAGTCTGCACTGTCCTGATTGTGCATCCTGAGATAGGAGCTCACTCCTGGACAGGGAAGGTAAACCATACCTTGGCTCAGCCCCCTGCTTGCCCCATTCTCAGCACATTTCCACCCTCCCAGGTGAGGTCCAGGCCATTACAGACGCCTCAGGGCCACCAGCAGTCCTCTCCCACCTCCCAGGTACCCCTACTTATCTGCCCACTGACCCAAGTGGGGACTATTCCCATATCCACACAAATCCCAGCTACAAGGAAGGGACAGCAAAAACAACTCAATGGGAGGAAGAGCTAAAATAGAGGCCTGTTCTCAACACGCCATCATTGAAGAGCTGCCAGATAACCATCAATGAGGGCTTCTGAGTAAACCTGTGCTGGCTACATATTCCAAGGGCTTAAGCAGGTGCCACCTTGTTGGTAGCCCAGCAAGGCAACATGGGACCACTCAGATCAAGGCAGTGGGGCACAGAAGCCATGCTCTCACACACCTGCACACCTGGCCACACCTCACCCTCAATGCATACCTCAGTCCATCTTCCAATGCACGCTTGGCAAGAGGCTAATGTCCCATGGCACAAGTGTCCCTCCCTAGTGTGCTGGGTGCACAAATGACCGTAGAGGGAAGGGCATGGGAAATTGTCTTTTTTTTTTGGGGGGGGGCAGTACTAGGGTTTGATCTCAGGGCCTCATACTTGCTAGACAGGCACTCTATCAGCCCTTTTTTGTGATGGTTTTTGTTTTTTGAGATAGGGTCTTGCAAACTATATGCCCAGGATTGGCTTCAAACCAAGATCCTCCTGATCTCTGCTTCCTGTATAGATAGGATTATAGGTGTGAGCCATCAGCGCCTAGAAGTGGTATTTCAATGTGCCCGGAGCATGACAGGCCATCGGGTCATAGGACACAACACAGGCCCTATAGGCGTCTCACCCATGAACTACGGGCAGGGAGCAAACTCCCCACCCCCAAAGACAGAAGGTACAGCCAATGCTCCAGTTCCACATGCTGCCTATTACAGCAAAAATTCTGATCCCTGCTTTCCCTGATGTGCCAGTTATCCATGGTCACCTGCCTTTCCAAGGTCCTAGGACACTGCCCACACTGACACCTACACACCAAGTGGGGAGAAGAGAGGTCAGTCTTAGAAATTGGGGTCCTCTGGCCCACACGGACTGCTCCTTGCTTGGGAATGTCTTCTGGTGTCTGGTGTGGGTGGGGATTGAATTCAATATTTTTCAATATAATGAATATAGGATCTCACTCTTAGCACCATGGACACTGGAGCCAGGTCATTCTGGGCTCTTCAGGTTGATGAGCAACATCGCTGGCCTCCATTCATTCCATCCATACCAACAGCTCACCCAGTTCTGATAGCCACATGTCCCCAGACATCACCCAGGGTGCCTGGGGCAGTCACCCAGGTAAGATCCCTGGCCTTCTGTCCATTGCTGGCTCTCCCAGACCCAAGCCATGGCTCATTCATATGACACCCCTCTGAACCATGACCTGGTTCTATGGCCTCTACCCTGCCCTGTGGCCACCCCGGTCTTGGAGCCCTTCCTACTACTGTAGCCCCCTCTTCTGCACACCATCTCCGTTCCTTATGCTTGTCCCTCATCTACCTGGACTCTCCCCAACAGCCCTGATTCTGAGCTGGCACATATACTGGTAACTGCTCCCAACCGCATCCCCAGCTGCTCTCTGCAGGTGCCTTCCTACACCCCACTGACAAATGACACCTCTGTGGGCAGCACTAAGCAACACATGCCTTATTCTTCACAAAGGGTCCAGGGCACAGGCGCATGCTGGCCAGGAAGCCTGACCAAATCTGGCAAGAGCAATTCTGTGTGCTGCCACAGATGCCCAAATAGACAAGGGCTTTGATGTCTCTGCCCACCCCATGCCTGGGAAGAGCTGCAAGCTCAGTCCTTTGCTAGGGACCTAGTGTGGTGATTTAGTACCACCCTTTCCCCCAGCTTCAGAGTAGGTCTCATAGGTTTCCCAGGTGCAGTGCAAAGCTGGTTTTGCTAAGGTGTGCTTCAGGAGCAGAGCCAGCTCCTTTCAATATGTTCCAGATGCAGGGCCAGAGCTTCACAGGTAAAACAGGTGTCCCAGATACAGAACAGAGTCAGCTCCTCTGAGTTCATTCTCCAGCATTTGTCATTCATGGAGCCAAACCAATACTCACTGACCTCCTACCTACAAAGATCCAGTGACCAAACAGGGCTCAGAAACTGACCAGGGCTCCTCCCCTGTGCTGGAAGAGTACACCATCCATGCATCCATGTGCTTGGTCAGGGGGTGCCCTGCATGTGGCCTCCACCAGGTCCCTGGTCCAGTGCCACTTCAGGCAGCCCCAGTGCTTCCTTCCTGGGACTTCAAACAAGACTAGGATAGTTAGCACAAACCCGACACAACTGGCTGCACCTTCGTGTGATCAAATACGCCCCAAATATCCCCACCACACTTCCAAGTGCGGGTGGAGCAAGGGGTTCCCTGCTCTCGCAACTCCTTCCAGATACCTCTCTGTCCAGGGATACCTTGGGATGTCCTGCCTCTGCTAAACAATGAGTTATTGACGCCTTCAGCTGCACCCAGAGCCCTAGGTCAGGGGACACTGGAGAGCTATGGCACAGCCCACTCCCAGCCAGTGTTTCACATGACAGTCAGGGAGACCACGCAACAGCTTTGAAACAGAATGCACAGAAAGGCCCCCACT